CCATCTATCACTCGGCCTTAAGATTTGCATTGAACTGCCCATATAGGACTCACCACTGTGATCTCTACATTGGGTCAAACTTAACATCTCTTAATGTTCTGCGGCTTGTACACCAGATCAAATTTATTCACGATGTACTTACAAAATAAACCGCAGACTACCTGCTGGAACTCCTCTCTGTTTCAAAGAACAAATTTGACCTCAGGTCTTCGCTCATCTACCAGCTTCACATTCCCTATTGCCGTACAAAAAACGGAGGAAGGGCCTTTGCTATTGATGCCCCCAGGGTCTGGAATGCTATTGCCAATTAACTGCAACTTGAATCACTACCTATGAGATCTTCACTCAAAACTGCTCTAGCTGCCACTGCTATTCAGTGGCCTAAAATAAAATGTTTAGCTCCGGATGACCGCTGCAAAGTATTATCTGTATTTTGATTTAGTGTGCTGATCTTAAAGGTGCATTGAAAAATGTGATACTCCGACTGATGCTCCTGTTATTGTGGAGTGACTCGTGCAGCCAGCTATGGCTCTAGGGTTTGGTGTTACAGGTTATTTATGTAGTTTATTGTAAAAAATTTGGTCACAGTTCCTATGATCACTGTTACATTGCATATATGGCTTTATCTTGGTGATTTCTAAAAGTTTTTTGGTTTGGCCATGTGTTTGTTTATTGTAGTACGGAGTTAGATTGATGGCCTTAATCTAAGTTTTCTTGTTGTTGTTGTTTGACTTGCATCCCACTGGGATTTTTGCACACAGCGTTGGTGTACGGTGCTATTTCAGGAATATTTTGATGTTTTTTCCTGGATTTTCTGTTTGCACATGCACAAAGTCACTTGAAGATGTTTTCTTGTTCATGTTTTTGTTTTTTTTGTTTGCTGCGGTTGCACCCGATTCAAGAGCCGAATGGTTCACAGGGCTATACCAAATAAATGAAACTATGAAACTAAACTATGAGATCGCGATAGCCGCGATGTCTGCTGCGAGCAGCAACGATGTCTGCTGCCTTGTGAAGAGAAGTTGTTACCAGCAAGAGTTTATATACGTTTTTGAGAACAAAGGTAACCGAAGTAATGTCATTGGGGTATTATAGTGCAAAGTTAATGAGCTGTCAACATCGGAAGCGACATCGAGGCGGAATGAGCGAACATCGCTATCTTCACCACCAGTTTGCTGATAGAATGGCTCGAGGGCGATTTAGAGAGTCCCTCTCTACGGGGTGTTTGGTCTACTCTTCCACACTGGTCAGACGTTTTGCGAGAAGTGGGAGTAGCCGCATTTTACCCAACAATTCGCAACCGACTAAACGACTAATTGTGGCGATCGCATTCATACTGCCGAGTGGACGCAAGGCTCGTGAGCGGCTGGGATGGGGGATTTTTTTTTTGTTTAAATAAAACGTGCCCATTGTTTCAACCGCTTAGTCGAATCGAATTGGCGGGATCTGAATTGCAAGTCCAGTGCTGTAAATGATGGCACTTCATCAGCACCCCCCCCCCCACTCCTCTCTACGTGTGTAGCAATGTGCGTACGTTGAAATGTACAGGTAGTCCTCGACTTACGATGGAGATGCATAACGACGACCCCATCGTAAGTCGAAAATATCGTAAGTCGGACCATCGTAAGTCGGGGACTACCTGTATTTGTCGCACCGTGCGTAAGCCAACCGTGGCAAGTCACTGACAGCAGTGACAATGAAAGCGTCACCCCCCCACCCACACCACCATATGCCTCCAGTTCAGAGGCAGACTTCGGTGTGGGCTGGGAGACTTCTCACGTTATCCGCGACAGAATGCCATTGGCGCCACAATGCCATCGTTTCTTTCCTCCTGCCGGGATCCCTGCAGCCAGTGATGGGGACGCGTGGCCTCCACGAGGCCCTGTTTGTGCATCGTTTTCCCCACGGACTTTTACTCCCAGGTTACTATGGCTACCCCGTTATAGACGGAGGGAAGAGGTTAAAGGGGGTACATGGCGTCGGTACCGCCCGGCGTGGTTTGTGCACGGACTGTTTGTGTATGTTGGACTTCTTTCGCGACCGTACGTAGCCAACCGTGCTTAATGGGAGGTGGTGAAGTATGGTCAAATATGACCCACACGGAGCGGGGAAGGTCCTCATCCAGCAGTGGAGCGATTTTTTTTTTACAAAAATGTCTGTAACACGTAGGTCTGTTGAGACAAGACAATTTAGGGCACGTTTATTTTATTTTAACCAGCTCAGAACTTCAACGAGACCAGGATGGTCTCATTTGCAAAGAGTGGCCTGGTTTGAAGCCAATGGAAAAACGACTGTCACGTGCGATAGCTGGTACAGTACTGGTGACTGTTCAGATTGTTAAGGTTGCGAAATAATGTCAACATAGGGTTAGTGTATTTACGGGGTGGGACGAGTACTGGTTGGATATTCGAGTTATGTGGTAATAGGGTTAAAGGTGGGATTCGCGTTTGGAGTGGCTTCATGTGGTGTTTGCCCTTCGTCTCCATGACAACGCATAGATCCTTTTCAGTTTGTTGTCAGTGTCTGGCCCGTAGAGTTTATTAGCGCCACCTAGCCGGACTAAGTGAATGGTGCAGCAAGGCGAATCGGTCCATCAAGCAAGACACCACCATCATCATCATCACCTTCGTCATCATCCAGATATATATAGCGAGGACGTGTTTCGCGTGCGAATCGTTTTACAAGGGGAGTCAAAACTACTTGGGAGGTCGCGCTCATTTTCAACCCCAGCTGGGGCCAAAGCGGCCTCATCGCTCGCCATGGAAAGTTGCCCGCATCGGGGGGGGCTTGCGTTTCAGTGCGCCAAGACTGCAAGATCACCACTCCCCCCACATCAACAGATGTCATTGCCCCAGCACAGGGCGTTTCAAGTGCTGGGAGAGAGCGAACAAGGCGAATATTTGGCCTGACGCCCACGCACGTGACACTGCAACAATCGAGTTGTGTATAGTCTGCATCACCATGCACTCTATTTGTTTTTCCTCCCCGAGACCCCACCAAGGCTCTTGCTTCGGATGATTTGCGACGATTCCTTATTCCGAATGCGTGCGGTCAGCGAACCTACTTGCTGTACCGTCGGTGTGCCATTGCGGCGTTGTTGATGTGCAATGCACGCTGAAGCGGCGAGCGTTGTTGTTGATGAGTGGGTGGAATTGATTTTTTTTCTCTCTCCAGATCACGAGGTTAGGTTGTCTGCATCCCTTGTTTGGCTCTCAACAGTGCCAAGACCTGGGCAACCCTGCATTATTTGTGCAGATTCCCCGTGCAAAATTGAACTCAACGTGGCTCTGCGACGCGATTAAATTACCACACGCGCGATTACCGCAGCCCAGTTATGGGAATGTGCAATTTGAGAGCCGCAGCCGAACGATTACACCTTGCAATGAATACCAATTAAACATCCATGCGGAATTGAAAGCACTGATTAAACACGTGCACGTAGGGATTGGATAATCTTCGACCTATGTAAAATGTATTCGAGACGGAGCGTGGGGGGTGGGGTGGGGAGACTTCAATGCAAACGGAGCAGATGCAAACGAGAGAATGACGGGAATATCCAACTAGGCAATACAAACGAGACGGTGCAAATGAGACGAGGCACAGTCGCAAAGGGGGGAAAGCGCACGACTCAACCTGAGACAGGACAGGACAGCAAACGAGGCAGCACAGAGAGGAATAAGGGGCCGTCCATAAATGACGTCACGCACCTAGTGGGGGGCGGTGTTTGAGAAATGTGACGTCACATCAAAATGCGCAACTTTATAAATAAATATAGAGACAACACGTTCTACTTAATTAAATAGACTTTTTTTAAAATAAATGTTTTCTCCTACAACATCAGATTGCAGCGGCACATTAAATACGCACCATAATGACAATAGTTTAAAGCGATTTGAAGCATGTTTTATATTTTTTTTGGGGGGGGGCAGAGCTTTGTGACGTCATATTTGAGGGGGGGTCTGACTTTTTGTGACGCCGTGTGACGGTAGGGGGGGTCAAAAATCGTCCAAAATCGCGTGACGTCATTTATGGACGGCCCCTAATACAAGTTAGTTAGACATTACAGTCGAGATACACAGTCCAATCTAAACAGCATACACGATACGGACAGTACAAAGAGAGAGAGGACAGTACACACCAAGTATGGAAGAGACAGTGCACAAAGCAATGCAGTACCTCCGATTAGCACGGTTGTCTACGTACGGCGTGAAAGAAGTCCAACAATACATTGCATTTTTAGGTGTCTCTTGTAATTTTATTGTTTGTTGCGGTTGAACCCAAATCAAGAGCCGAATGGCTCACAGGGTAAATCCTAATAAATGCAACTGATACATAGAGTACCGTACATGCTGGCGATACAAACGAGACGCGCGTAATCGTGATCTGTAATCGATTCGTTATGGATTCGTGACATCGACTGTAATCGCAGGGGGGATCATTATTAATCGGTGAACGATCGGCCCCGCTCTTTGAGTGGCGTTGCTCGCTAACAATGGTCCCCTATTCTGCGTTACTAATCACCCCGCACACCTGTGCCCCCGCCCGCCCGCCTTTGCTAATCAGCTGACAAGACCCACCCCGCCGTCTCTGCGCTAATTATCTGCTGCTGCTGATTCTTCTTCTTCCACGCGTTTGTCGCCCTCATGGTGCCGGGGCGTTCCGCTGCCCTCGGAAACCTTCCTCTCCCACGCTGCCCCTGTAGTTGCGCCATCTCTACCTCCCCCAGGCCACCACATCTTCTTATGCCTCCCTCTTCATCTCTATCCTTCCACTTGCATATCCGCTGCCGCCGCTGCTGCTGCTGCTGTGGCTAATTAGCTGCTGCGGCGCGCGTTGCCATGGCGACCGCGGAGCTCAATTAGCGCCGCGGCCGCAGCAGCCAATGGGAGCGAGCGTCGAGGGCGCGGCCCCCCCCCTCACCCCCCCCTCACCTCCCACCGCCTCCAATATCACCATCAGCGCCACCGTGGTATTGCGTAACAAGTTGTGCGTGCTGCTCTCGTCCAATACGGCGATGGGCGATCGCGAAGTGTAATTGTAATCGTCAACCGGCCGAAGGCGAATTGTAATTTACGGCCGTGGGGGAGGGGAAGGGGCGGGGCGGGCAAGCCGGATGGGGCGGGGCGCCGCTTCCCCGCGGATAAAAGCGGCTCCGCCCCGGCTAAGCGCGACTCGACCCAGACTCTGACTGGGATCGCTCAGCACCTCTGGGAGGCAGCAGCAGCAGCAGCAGCATTCAGGTTCGCTCCACGTTTCTCCATATTCTCGCTATAGGCTGCTCCAGGGACCTCCCCCCACACAGACGGTTACGGTCTAGGGACCCCCTCCACACTTTCTGAACAACCAAACCCACCCAACACTTCCATCGGAGACGTCTTTATACTCGCGGGCTTCTGAGCAATCGCCCAGATTAATCCAAAGAGGGTGACTCTCTCTCTCTCTCCTCGGGCAGCAACAGCAGCAGCAGTGATGATGAGCGCGGAAGGCGGCGATCAGCCCGCTGTGGCCGAAGAGGCGACGGCCCCTGGTGGTGATCAATCCGAGGCGGGAGGGCGGCAGCAGCAGCAGCAGCAGCCCGATGCTTCGGAGCGAAATGTTGAGGCGCAACAAGAGGAGGCTCCCGGCAAAGAGGAGCAGCAGCAGCCCCCCAGCAAAGAAGAGCCGACTCCCACCAAGGAAGAGGCGCAACCCGGGGAGCAGTACAAAGCCGTGGTGCTTACGAGCTTCGGCGGCTACGACAAGCTGCGGGTGGAGCGGCGCACTGGGGCCATGGTGCCTGCGGCCGGGGAGGTGAGGATTCGGGTCCACGCGTGCGGCCTCAACTTCGCCGAACTGATGGCTCGCCAGGGCCTCTACGACTGCCTTCCCAAGAAGCCGCCAGTCGTGCTTGGCATGGAGTGCGCTGGGGAGGTGGAGGCCGTGGGCGAAGGGGTCGAAGACCGAAACGTGAGTTGTTGGGAGGTGTGTTTTTTTTATTGTGGATGGTGAGCCCCGTCGTAGCTTCGAGGTGGCTGGTTGTTGTGGTCTCACGAGGTGGTTAAAGGTGTGGCGGATTTATTGGACAGATTTTTTTTTGCATACTGCAGTGGCACGTGCGCAACGCAGGGGGAGGCTTCTTGTAAATTTTTTTTTTAATGTTACGGGCAGGGTGAACCTTGGTGGAGGTTCCATGGCTTGATGGTGGTAATTGGTCAACTTTGTCCGTGTGGTCAGGGCCGAGGAAATGGATGGTTTCGATTTTACTGGCAGTATGCTGTGCGTCTCTGCGTAATTAGGTCCCCCTAGTTTTATTGTGGACTGTCTACCTAATTTTCCCTTGCTAATTCGTATGAAAAATGCAAGTCTGGATAAACGTGACACCCAGCCGTTCCAGTGACCGTTCCATAATGCCTTCAATTGCTGAAACGAAGCTATACTGTATACTAATCGAGGTGTAACCCCTGAGACTGTCCTACACCGCCACCAGTTGCATTTAAATGGGGTGGTCGGTTCTTTTTTTGTTCACACCCAGGCCTTTATCACCCGGTAAGGGCGTTTTTTTTATTTGGCCAGGGTATCATTCCTAATGGTCGGCTAGATTTTTTTTTATCGAGGCTTTTAGAGAATAAACGGCCTATTGCGATGCATTTTAAGATTGAGCTTCGGAATTGCGTGTTTTAACAGTCGCACAATGTACGTGTGCCTGTGCACGACATGTTTTAAATATACCTTTTTAATCCAGGACTTATTTTTAATCGAGGTCCTCACATCTGAGGCCCCCTTTAAGGCATGAGACGGCAGAATGCCCCACTGCCTCATCTGCCGAAAACCCCCAGTTATAATTTTTTTTTAAGAAAATCGAATTGCCTTTAGCCGTAATTATTATTTTTAGTAAATTTCGCACGCGTATCTTTGTATTCGCAACAGGATTGCCCAATATGCATTTGAGAAAAATGACCGTTACAAAAATGGGTTAAAAAAAAAATTGTATGCGTCGTGCAGAGACTGTGGTGGGGGAGGGCTACTCGGGCGTGGCACGCTGGGGGTTGTGGACTGCTCATGTGCTCTAGCAGCAGCACGACGGCCTCTTCTCCTCCATTGTCTGCCGTGTGGTGGTGGTTGTGGTGCTTTAATAATATTGTCCAAGCTTCATATATATTTTAAGTGCTATACATCCAACCCTAGGTTTATTTGTGGGGGGGGGGGGGGGGGGAATGGAGTTGCTAGTCTACCGTTAATGTCGCGACTAGATTTGTTTTAGAAGAGATGTGTTTTTTTTACGCGTCGCTATTTAATGCTGCGTAATTGGCGGTGAATTTGTTTTTATAAGGAACTTGATACTCATATTTGCAAGCTTGCAGCAACCCTATTGGGGGTGGGGGGGGGTGGGGAGAAACGGAAGCAAAGTTCCCTGTGCGTCACTTTTTAAAGGGACCTTTTTTAAACTCTGCATGCAATGTTGAACATTGGCAAGATGCCGATGGGAGTCCAGAAAATATATCCATGCGGTGTGCATTGTGTACATCTGGGTGCAATGCCCTTTATTGCGGTTGCCATTTTAGGCTAGATGTACTTGTTTTTTTAAAGGTGGCTATAAATATTTGCACAGTTAAATTTTCACGTGCCCCTTTGGCTTGCCGCTTTTAACATGTTTTACAGGTGGGAGACCGTGTGTTGGTGGTGAACCGTGGTGGGCTATGGCAGAGCCTTGTTTGTGTGGCGGCTACCAAGACCTTTATCATGCCGGATGAAATGAGCTTTGAAGAGGGAGCGGCAATTCCTGTCAACTACATAACAGCATACATGATGCTCTTTGATTTTGCCAACTTGAGAGAGGGCAAGAGTGTCCTCCTCCACATGGCTGCAGGTATTGTACAATAGTGGTTAACTGCTTTTTTTTTGACTGGACTGGTTGTGCTAAACTGAACGATTGACTCCATGGTGCAAAGGCTTCAAATGCAGAGGCAATTTTGGATTCTCTTGGCTGAAGTTGTGGGGTTTTTGAAGTGCTGCCGAGCCAGTGGAGCGTGCCTTTAGCACGTTGGTTACTGTTCCCATAAAACACATGGTAGCTAAAAGCCATGCGTTTTCACCTTTACATCTGTGCTGATCTAATTGCACATCTTACAAAAAGCAACGTTGACTTTTAAGTGTGTAGGGCCTGATAATTAGTGTTGTGGTCAAACGGACGTGGAACATAGCATTGGTACTGGATAATGGACATCCATTTGGATGCATTTTAAATGGTAAGTGGGCATGTAATGGATGCTGCCTTCCCCATGAAATTATTTTAAAATTATTCATTTGTAGTCTATTCCCAAAATTTGTACTTTTATTGCTCTATTGCCCTAAAGTATACCACTGATTTGCATATGCCGTCGGTTTTATAAATACAATTATCAAATGCTAATCTCTACCTGTGGTGTAAAGATCCTAATCTTTCCATCATTGCATTATTACATGGCGTAACTGAAATGAATTCCAGTTGCCATAGTTGAGCTGCAGTTTTTTTTACTGAAGCCAAATGTTTCAACGGTGACTTTTAATGTACAAGTGTTTGTCGTTTTGGGGGTGGCCCTAATTTGTGGCTGCAATATTGGTCCTAAAATGGGACCATAATTTTAAGAATTCATAAAATGTTGGTATCCTTGCCTAATGTTAATTCAGTGACCTGTGCGGTTATGAGTTGTTTAAAGCCCTGTTGCAATTTAACTTATGAATATTGCTTTTTCAAAATGGGTCCTTAACATCGAATAAAACCTGCTTTGATATCTTCCCCATGCCGTTTTGGTCATGATGGTTGTTTGCTCTCCATGAGAGGCTAGGAACTCGTTTACATCCTGAGATTTTTTTCTTTTTTCCTGGTGAGCCAAAGGTAATGAACAAACTTTAACTTTTTAATGTCCTTTTTATTTAAGCAAGGTATGCACAAGTTCAAGGCCTGAATTTAAACTGGTGCATCTGATTGCAACAATTGAGATTCTTTTTAGATGAACAATATATTGCCATAATGCCCTTGCATGCAAGGTTTTCCTTTTGAATGTCAATCCATTATAGCACTTCATCTTAAATAACCTCTGCCTTTATCTGCATGCTAGGTGGCGTTGGCATTGCAGCCACCCAGCTTTGCAAGACTGTTCCCAACGTGACTCTCTTTGGAACTGCTTCAGCTAGCAAGCATGACATTATTAGAGAGCAGGGTGTCACACACCCAATTGATTATCGCTCCCTCGACTATGTTGCTGAAGTTCGCAAGATTTCACCAAAAGGTAAGCTAATTTCATCATGGTCCTTCCCGAATTTGCATTGTGCTCCAATGCAGAATTTGTTTTTTTTTATCAGTTAACAACTTGAGCATGTGCATAACGCCTAATCTTGACATTCTTTTTAAAGGTGTTGATATTGTACTGGATCCGCTGGGAGGAAGTGACAACGCCAAGAATTATAACCTGCTGAAGCCTATGGGCAAGATGGTGATTTATGGTAAAGAATCCTCGCTGAAATGTGGTTTGGTGTTTTGACGTTAACTGTTAAGTGCTGCCTTTACCAGAACTTTAGCTTGCCTAAATGCCTTGGCTGTGAGGTTGCTTAGAGTTGAATAGGCATTCAACAAAAGTTCCACTCGTTGCCTTCCTATGGGGCCCAGACCATGCACAAACAGGAAGCGTGAGGTCGAACTGACAAGCTTGCCAAATGGCTGCTCCAACTTTTTTTTTGGTCTGGATGCCACCCCGGCACAATTCCGGCCTTGCTTCCTCCTCTGGCTCAAATGGAGCAAAGGAGTTTATGTTCGGGTTATTTAATGGCCTTCCTGAAATTATTCTAGCATTTGTTTTTAAACTAGTTTGGTTAAACATGATTAATTTACAAATTCGGTCGCCTCCAAAAGATTAAAAACATCACAGTTTTGGTATTTTGCAGGAAGCTCGGAGTTTATTTTTCCACAGCTGTTTCTTTCTGGTTAAATTGTAACATTGGAATGTAGCAAACGGCATGCCATTTGATAACCTATTAACTTTTTTTATTGCGGTGTTTATTTGCTTTCACACAGGGTCACAAAATCACATTTGATAGCTTTGCTTGCAGGGTAATTAAAACTAGTTACCAATCTCTACCTAGTATTTACACCAAAAGTAAATCCATTGGAAAAGGCCAAATACGAATATACCAACTATTTGTCAAGTAGCTTCCTAGTTGGTTGCTTGTCTATGCCAGAAACCAACAACTTTCCAATGAAAATTACACCCAAGTGATAATGTTCCTGCTGTTTTGTCCACCTTCCCAATTTTACTCGGATCGTTGCAATGTGCTTTTGTCATTATTCGACTTGAACTTTGTGTGCATACAAAGCTTACCTTTGCAGCTATGTAGGCTTGTTAAAAGTCGAGGATCACCACTGCTTTAAAGATGGTTCTTAACATTCCCTTTACCGCCCAATCCCCAGGTGCGGCAAATTTTTCTACTGGGGAAAAGACTAGCGTTTTTTCTCTGGCGAAGAACTGGCTGCGCTCCTTCAACGTCAGTGCAATGCAATTACTGCGCTCAAACCGTGCAGTGAGTGGTTACCACCTGGGCTACCTGGATGAGGAAGTGGAATTGGTGCGCTCGGTGATGGCAAATCTGCTTGACCTTTACCGCCAGGGTCACATCAAACCACGCATCGACTCTACTTGGGCTTTTGAGAAGGTCAGGTTTATTTTAAATATGCTACGTAGTTGTGTGTGGCTACGTGGTGCAAAACGTGACTTGTATTTGAGCAAAAACAATTGGAGGAATTTGTTTGCTTGGTCATGAATCCTTATTCTAATTATCTACCAGAATAAAAAAATCCGAATACAACATAGCTGCAATTATGCCATTATTACTTTGCGTTGGGAATGTCATTGACACCCCAAGTCTAAAGTTTCCAACTTTATCTTTTTTATAGCTGCAAGGTAATTGACATCGAATTTTGCTTGAAACATTTCTTAGCCTACAGGAATGTGCAATTGTGAAGCGGCTTGGTATTTGACCCTTACCTAATTGGGTAACAGTTGAACAGCCTTTTCTCTAACGTGTACTAATTGTAAGTAAAGGGATAGTGCTTTGTCATTCCAGCCATTGTAGAGGTAACTGCAATTTTAAGTGCCCAAATAATTGACCAAAATCCTTTTGCTGGGGAATTATTTTTTATTTTCCAAAACATTTAAGTGTCAAGTGATTCCATGCATTGACGGTACTCAAGACGACTCCAAGTTTATTTTTTTTAATTGGTGGACTAGTTGGCACGTAACAACTTTGTTTCCCTACTTTATGCATAACCCTGCATGCAACTGCATCCCTGCAGGTTGGTGATGCGATGAGGCAAATGCATGAGCGCAAGAACATTGGGAAAGTTATTTTGGTGCCAGAGAAAGATGAACCAGAGGAGGAGTCTGAGAAGGAAGAGCCCAAGAAAGATGGTTCCAAGAAGGAGGGGTCCAAGAAGGAAGGGTCCAAGAAGGATGATTCTAAGAAGGAAGGGTCCAAGAAGGAAGGGTCCAAGAAGAATGATACCAAAAAGGAAGGGGCCAAGAAAGATGATTCAAAGGAGGGTGAATCCAAGAAGGAAGAAGAGCCAGAGGTTAAATAAGGCACTGCATCGATGTGCAGAGTGGGTTGGTTTTTACCTCTCGCACTCCCAATGCCCCCTTCATTTGTCCCTGATGTGGACCAAATTTATGCCTCTGTGAAAAATGCAGGTTGTCAGACTACCAGTGTTTGTGAAAAAGGCATAGGAGTAGTGTTTGGGATTGTTTACAGTATTTGCTCAAATGGCTTGCTTTCTCCTGACCTGTAGATGTAACACTAGTTGTTGATGCATGTCATGTTCATAGGATGTGTTTAACCCCAAGATGCAGACAGATTTTATATAATACATTGCACTTGTAATCCTGAACCTGTTTCTAAAAATATCAATTTCAACCAAAATATCGTATTGAAGCTTTATGATGCACTTCATCTCAATGTGGCATTGGCAGCCTGCGACCTTAGTGCACCAATCTAACAATGTGAAATTCCCTTGGTGCTGAGACTTGGTGGTAGAGGAACCCCCCCCCTTTTTCCTGGTGGTGCATTTCTCTGCTGCCCCGTAGAGACAAGCTTGTCACCAGGTAGCCTTTGCTAGTAATGGTGCAAAAACTGGCTTTTCTTAACCGTCATTTGGATTGCCTTGGATTTTGTACTCGCTTGAAACATCCATAATGAGCATCTAAAATGAAGTCGTGGTTAAATGGATGACATCTTTAATGTAAAGTCTGAGCATTCCTAAAATTGTGCTTTTTGGAGAAGGGGGGGGGGTCTATGCATGTGCCAAACGAGGAATTAGATATTCTAGACCAGTATTGCAATCTCAAATCTAATACATCTTTGCCTTACTGACCAGGACCAGTGATGTGCATTTAATTGCCTTAGTCTTTGTGTTGCACTTAATAAATTGCCTTGTGTGTTTTGCATAGTGATGTTTCCCGTGGTTTTTGGTATCTGACGTGACATGTGCATTCCCAATAATTCGTTATTGTGGTTACAATAAAGTTTCATGAAATTACGCTGCTTGTGGCCTAATTCTCGCGGGTAACTTCGGCTACCACATTCGTGAAATGGTAGCCCCTTAAGGTGGCTCCATGACTACAGCACTAATCAATATGCATTGAAAATAAGTCTTCCTTTTAAAACTGTCGATACAATAGCTCTGCATGGTGGGTGAGGTAGATGCCCATAAACTTGAACCGTATTTGCTCAAACTGGCATGTGCAGAAATACAATTTCTAACCCTCGAATATGAAAGGACTTCAATACATATGGCTGAGAAACTAGTTTAGCTTTTCCCATGAATTGGAGGGTTTTTTTGCCTTCCATATCTAACGCTGCTTGGCCTCGGCCGACTGACAATGCCAACTGCACTTTGCCAACCCAGTAAATTGGATAAGAGTGAAAACTGGTTCTCTTTAAAAACTAAAGCCTGAATTCTGCTTTGGACTAATGCAAATTGTGATGTACATCCAATGGGTTGCTTATTTAAGTGACGAATTAATGGAGCTCAAAATACTTCGTGTAAGAACTGCGTTACCCATATGGAAAGAGGTGGCATAAACGTTGTCTAGCCACGCTGAAGGTTCCAATCGCACCTTCAAAGGTGCCTGACCAAGGACAAATGTGGCAACCCAACAGCATTGAACAAGCTGGTCTGGCCCTGATTACTGCTCCACTTTTTTCTGATGTTGCTCCATACGCTTTTAAGGTACCCCATGTTAAGCATTTGCTGTCGTACGAAGCTATGGACTGTACAACCAGCGTATGAAATTGCATCGTGTTTGCCATTCCAAAAATGCAATGTCTAGTCATGTAAATTACATAATTTCGGAAGTCCAATGGGGAAGTATCGGAGAAACGCTATAGTGAATAAGTCGGTTTAACACAGGCATTTGACCAATATCCATGATATAGTTGGGTTTCATCATGTGAATGTGTCAACTTGACGGCCAACTAAGTTTGTCATACCATGCCAATTTGTCACTAATACAGCACACCGGTGTATTGGAGAGCCTAGCCATAACATTTACAGCCAAGCCACAACATTTACATAGTAAATACATTTGTAAATGTTGTGGCTCGGCTCTCCAACACGCCGGTGTGCTGTACTCGTGACGAATTGGCACGTTTGTGACAACCCTTACAAGTTAATTAAACGACATTTACGCGATCTAACCCCAAAACACCTCGTGCACCAGTGTTAAATGACATTAACTTCAAGGCGGTGAGCAATTGGGAGTGCTTCCTGTTAAAAGTTTTTCTTAAAATAAACCCCGTTAGGTATTGGAAGCTGTTTTATGAGTATTGGAAATCTTTTTGGTGGCTCATTCGTGCGACAATGGGCAATTGGCCAAAAACGTGACCTATTTCCTTCTGTATTCTACTAAGGCCGTAGTGCAAAGTGCAGAAATAAGATGTTTGTTCAATTCTAGAGACATTGTCATCCAGTACGATAGTCAGCAGGAAGGTAGTGGGGACGGCAAAAGTATTTTAATTACCTTACACTGCTAAAATGGGTATTTCCACTTAAAGAAAGTAACACAGGACTTCAGTTTTCCTTTTATTCAAAAATGCAACCTTAAACATTGTCGCTAAACAGCTCGGTGATATAGGCCGAGATAACACCGTGTAACACTTTTTTTGTCCCTGGGAAGCGAGTGTTATTTCCTAACTGCTTGCCTCAAAAGTATAGAAAATGTATATTTCCCACAAATGTTTTTGTGACCAGGAGTGATATTTAGAAATGTACCCATCTTCAATGAGAAAACGTGTGCATGTGTCATTCCTTCACAAAGTCCTCGTCGCAAAAGCAAAGTTTGGGGAATAACCGTTTTCTATACTTTATAGGCATAAGCAATTAAAATAAACTCCTTAAAAAAAAGTTAACTTCGTTTATACTCGCGGTCGAAAAGTACGTCAAAGGCGCCTGCTTTTTGTGCGAGCCGATTCCAGTTTAGGGACCGTGACCTCCACAAAAACATATAAACCGTCCATGGAAAAAAATGTAATCGCTTGAAAGGAGGCAATTGATGAATTCATGCCGATTTTGATACAGGCATGCATTATCACCGATGCAAAATTTGGAATTTATTAAACAGGAAGTAGACTAACTTTTGATTACAAGATTTGACCACGACAAAAACGAAGTTAAATAAACTTTTTTAAACGGTTTTATTCACAACTTCGTTTAACGCACCCTCGATGTACGTCAATGATGCGGTGCCTGCTCCCACATCGTTTACATGAAATCATTGCTTATTTTATAAATTAATTTTCAATGTACTACTCGTTCACACGGAGCAGGCGCATTAGACACGCGACGCCTGCTTTTTGTGCGAGGCGATTCCACAGTTTAAGGACCGCGGCGTTTTTGACCTGCACAAAAATTTATAATTAACAAGGCGTCCATACTAAAACTACCACGCTGGTCTACACACACACATGACGTCATCCCGTTTGGGGGTGGGAATGACGTCAGGGCCAGTTCAGGGGATCTGGAGGCCGTGGGTGAGGGCCACGGGGGTTGTGAGGCCGTGGCACCGAGTGAACCCGGCTGGACACGTGACCGGATCAAGGTGAGGTCTGGGGGCCCTGGGGCCACCTTGGGGGCCACGTGGACAGTCGAGAATCTTCTCAAGAGTTATTGAAGTTGGACGTGACCGGGGTGTGGCCCGGACACGCTGAGGCGCATATAAGCGGCCTCCTCACCGGGGTTCGAGGCTGCTCGTGTCAAGAAAGAAGAGTCAAGTCAGCGTGACCAGCGAGTAGCCCTCCTGGCTTGGTCACGCTAGTCGTATCCGAGTCAGTGTTAGTGAGTGATGGTGTGTGTTAGCGAGAATAGGTCAGTGGTCACCACCCTATGTTAAGTGTTACATTGAGTTAACAATAAAGTGTTGCCTCCCAAGAAGTTGTATGCGCCTAATTCGCACCCATAACAAATTTACGTCGATTTTGATACAGGCATGCATTGTCACCGGATCTGAGTACGTGTGCAAAATTTCGAATTGATTGGACAACAGGAAGTAGACTAAATTTTTGTGACAAGATTTGACCATGACAAACAGGAGTCAAGTTAAATAAAACCATTGAATAAAACCGTTGCAAAATAACACTACCCAGGGAGAAAAAATTGTGTTACGGTGTAATCAGGTGAAAACTCAAACTATACTTTAACAATGGTAAAACTAAGGTCTTGAATAAACTGAATTCCGAGGGTGTACGACATTAACAGTAACATGAATAATTACAGTACTGTACACTATAGAATGTAAATGGTTGGGAAATACGTCAATACCCATGCATGTTTTAACTGGCTGACCAGCTGGCAGGCCGGCAACCTGTAACTGCCTGCCAACTGGTCAGCCAGTTATTTAATTACTTTCTCTTAAGCGTGGGCAATGACGTTTGACCGATGCCTCATGTCTTTATAAAAACCGAGGAAATGTGTATTGAATGCAAAGGATGCCCAATGTGGCATCTCGGGATTTGCCAGGTTGCCTTGGATTGAAAAGCCACCGCAGACTGCAATTTGACTCATGATGCCCTTCAAGAATGACTATGATGGATCATGGGCAAGGTGTAGAGATGCGAACCTTGTCCAGGAGGTGGTGCTCCTCTGAGAATTATGTGCATTTTTGCCAGTGTCGGAAAGGTTGCCGCATTTGCTTGAGAGACCGACGTATTATTTTGTAATGGGCTGGAAGCTCAAAAAGTGAACGTTAAGTTTTACAACATCCTGCAAACACATTTGCATATGTGTATATATATAACCACAACCAATTGTAAAAACACTGGCTTTTAGGAATGTAGTCGGAAATCCAGCTGATTGCATTCAACTGTGTAGCGTGTTAAGAAAAATAATGACCAATTCGTGACCTTGGTGATGGCTTCAGTAGCTTCTGCTGGGAAGAGTGCTCAACCAGTGAACTAAAACAAACACCCATATCCTCTTTTCAACAATACTGGCCAGTGTTTACCCCCTTTTTTCCACCTGTTGTGTTACCAAAGGGCGAAAGAGGTGTGTATGTTGCCCCTAAAGCAGTGAATACATGTTTAACTTCTTTTGCATCGTAGGTAGCCCAAACGTGATAATCTCTCTGTTGACTGCAGCGCATATTCAAGTTATCTAAGCAACCGATAGTACTGCAAGTTTCCTCAATGAACTATTTTAATTGGTGGCCTCTTAAAGGACTATAGTTTTCGGTTTTATATTGATGGTGCTCGATAGAGTATTGCAGGGTTAATTGTTTTACTTTGTTTTACTGAAATATGTGCGATTATAAACAGCATCAAATGCGCTGTGAATTAAGTGGCTTATAACGAATAGTGTACATTGTTTAAGAGCGTCTACAATGTTTTTCTTTGATTCTGAATAATAGGTACTATGGGAAGGGTATTTGTATGAAATCTTTCGCGAATGTGAACCCTCGAAGCACAGACGACTCGCTGCAGGAAGCATGCAGTATTCTCAAAGTTTTCAATCTGAAGAGAAAACAGGGCATTTCAAACTTCAGAACATGCTTGCAAGTAAATCTGCTGACTGTGTAGACATTGACCCTGATAAGCATTTGACAAATATTTAGCAGCTGTAATGATGGGCAAAAGGCTCGTTTTTTTAAATGAAAGTAAAAGAACATCCAACAGGAAAAATAACGACCATGAAAAGTATACCTGTCAGAAAACCAGACATTGGTAAATACTGCAATGGCATAACTTTGATGACCATGTTTTGTATTCTGGAATATTAGTTAATCGGTTGCTAAATTAACTAGCAACATGACCTTTAGCATGCCAATTACATTAACTCGTTTCTTCTGCCATTATTAGATTAATCTATATTTAAAAGTTTGTAAGTTAACTATTTAAACACACACTATATGTGTACCACGGGGTGTTGTAATCATCAACTATGCCACCGTTATGTACTCAGCATCTCCTTGGAGCTAAACTGTCTTGGATTCTATACAAAACCACATTACCCCACTTTTCATTTGAGGTGGTTTGTTTTATCCTGTTTACCAATGTTATATTTAAAATAAAAGTGCTACATTGCCATTATTATCATTAAAGCTCCAGTCACGGTTATGTATGTGTACGATGCTTTATAAGTAACAACATAGCAAAATGCAACTCTTGTGAAAATTCTAAAATCACTTGCCTTCGTCATCACTGTCAGGAAACTCCCCCTAGAAAACAGAGGTGACAGATCAAATTAACACATATTTCATGTACCATTGAGAATAACGTGTTTTAAAATGGATATTTTTCGTATACTTTGCCAAGATGAGTGAAGTGTTGGTGCAGAAATTACATCAGACATGTCATTGAATTTTGCCAGGTCATCTCCCGAGTCATCTTCCCAGTCTTTCCAGTTGCCAAAGTCCACGCTCAGCCAACTTAACTGGATATACACAAGGACATACAGAAAGTAAAAATACATCATTAAATACATTTTAAAAGCAGAAATCTACCATGTGTAACCACCTACGTGTCTTTTACCTTTCGCAGTAACATCCTTTTCGCTTTGTTTTACTTTGTACTTTATTGGCAGTATTTTTATGACATACGCAAGCACCTATTCGCTCAATAAAACGTAAGGCGGTGCTTATATACATTAGAGGTCGTGAACCAGTGTGTAAAAAGTGAGAACGCATTTCCACGTGGCTTTTGGTAAGATAAACCTGCATGTGTATAAGTTTAAGTAAACCATGTTATGACCTGTATGTTTATCTAATCTTAAAATAAACGTACCGCAGGAATAATCCATTCGTGCAGCAAGTTTTAGGGAGATTATTTTTCTGCAGGCATGACAGACCGTCAGACTGTCATGCCTACTTGTAGGCTAAACAAAACCTTAGTGTTGTTTACATTCTCCTGCTGGTGTGCATTGTCAAATGCAGAACCATACCTTAGTCTTATCTTTGGTCAGTCTTGGCCAGGATTTTCCAGAGGTCTTTTTTGTAATGATGCACACCACTGTCCGATCAGTTCGTTTGTGACTTGATTTCTGGCGTAATGGCACATGAGACATTTGAACAGATTGGACACCATTCTTTGGTGTTTAGCCCAATCAAATCATACAGTTAATCAAGAAGATTCTATGTCGCAGTCATCCGATATGTTGACACTTACCGAAATAGTAATTTTGTCGTACAGCTCAATTACATTCAGGAAACTTCTGCAATCGCTCCCAAGACAGCTGGAAAATATCAGCAGTTAAAACATGAGTATTCACTTCCTGCCTCCATATTATTAAGTCAATAACAAATGTACTTTGTCAATTACTATATTACCTTCATTCTATTGATATTTTACAGTAAGGTATATCCAACAAAGGGCCAATTAAAATTACACCGTATTTTTTTTCCCAAAAACTGTGGGCAACTCTGTATATATTTGAAATGTATTTATTGAATGAATAATAGATATAAATGCACTTTAATAAGTGTTAATTATAATTATCACTTATTTTGCAACACTGCCAGGGCCTGGTCCTCTGGCAGTAATAAAATACACATTTTCACATCTGTAAATCAAGATGCATACATAGGCAAATGTTATTCAAGTTCTTTGTTTGATGCCACTCCATTGTTACCCAATGCCTGTGAATCAAAATCTGATCGCCAAATTCACAGTGCACTGCACTTTGCCACCACTCTACTCATTAAAGGGAATTCGGTACATCCAAAGTTCCCTACGTGGTCAAATTCCCCACGTATCAAATTTGTAAAAATTAGGTTTTACCAGACGAAAACATTAAATGATCTGTAAAGTGATTCATTCTTGATTTGAAGCTTTCGTGACGGCAGGAATCCATACTCTTTGGTTCTTTCGGTAAAGTCACGTAGTTAGAAGTAAATTAAAATAAAACAAATCACGACGTTTCGATTGCAACACAAGCAACCATCATCAGGTGGGAAAACCACAGCAATATTTTTTTTGCTGAAGTGGTAGAGAGAGCTGCCGTGGCAAGAGGTTATATAGTTAAGGGGGGAGGGGCAAGGGGGGTGGTAGGGAGAGGGGACGTGAGGCTGGGGGGGGGGGAAGTGGGAGGGGCTGGAAGTGGGAGGCCGAGAAAGCTGGGGATGCGGGGAGGGGGGAAATTAGTGATTCATCTTGGTGGTGGTGGGCTGCGCTGTAATGCAAGAGCCTGCTTCTCACCGCGTACCTGAATGTGATTTTGTCCTCTTCATAGTTGATATTCACGCGGTTGCTGTCAGCCACACAGAACTCCAGCACCACACAGTCACGTCGATCGTACCACTTGGTCTGTACAGGGATGCTGCAGCAGCAGCACGCATTCAGGTTATATATACACACCACGTACAGGGACTCCTCTACTTACGAACGAGTTAGGTACCAGAGGGTCTGTTTGTAAGTCCAAGCTTACTCCTGTCGATTCCAAGCATATACGGCATGTACACTAAACACGGGGAATGGATTTAAAAGTTGTATAATCTCCTGTAGATTCCACTGGTTCTTTATGTTCTGCAGATGTAGATGCTTCCACCGCCATCTATTGCGCGGCGGTTGAACTTACGACTCGGTCCGAACAGCCAAGTGGACATACGGGGGGACAGGTTTGTTCATGTCTGTGAAAGTTCGTGAATCGAATGTTCGTAAGTAGAGGAGTCCCTGCACATATGTAATGAGCGACTTCCACGACACGTCGTATAGAGAGGGTACGTCTTCTTTATTTCTCACACTGGCCAACACTGGTTCTTCCTCTCACTGAATATATATAACACCTCAACTGGCTACACGCACAGCCGATCACTCAGCGGGGTCCCCTCGCCTTCACTCGTCTCCGCCGCTGCCTGGCGGCGTGACGATGACGGCGATGGAACCCACGCAGGAGATCTTCCACGTGGCCGGACGACGGAGAGAGATGTCGGTGAACAGCGACACGCCAGGACACAGAACCCACACGTGCCCGGGGTCCGCTCCCCCTGATATCCCCCCAGGCGTGGCTAAGCCCCGCCTCCGGCCACGCCCTCTCGTGGAACCTTCCAGCAGGTTCCCGGAGCATCTCGGCTAACCCCTCCTGTTACCTTTGCCCTAGATACGCCTCCTTCCCTGATTGGCTGTTACCTCTGTGGCTGTATCCGTGAAATCCTTCCCAGGCCAGCAGGTGTCACTCTGTCATGTCAGCAGGTGTAACCCTGTCATTACACATTACCAAGAGGGTTGCCGCAGCATGGCGATACTATTACGGTAAACATGCCAATGTTGGTATGTGGTTGGAACCGTTGTTGGCACGTTGGCACAACGTTACATGTTTACTGGAATGATAAACCGTACGTGTGTAAGGTCCACGATAATGAAACGTTTTCTGGATGCATTGACAGCAAGGTGGTTTTACGTCAACATTTTCAGACAGCATTCAAGTTGGCGATAGGCATTGTGGATTGCAAAGCCGTAATAATTACAAAGGACTTATGTGCTAGCGGGCTTAGTTTGAGTGGCGTGCTGCAGTCGAATTAGGTTTTTACATAAATGCACATTTGTACTTAGAAGTACCACCACTACGACTACCAACTACTACATCATAGCACAAACTCCGGACGTAAATGTGAAATGAAATACAAGTACAATATGAAGGGGAAACTGATATTGTAGTAATTGTCATATCGTGAAAGGCGACATCGTGGCTACATCGATACATTACCTGAAAGAAACTTCCAGATCTTGGCGATATCACGTTTTACTTCAAGCTTTCTTTTTTGCAAGATTGGTTAATCAACAATAAAAAAATAATCTAACACGATTAGCCATGTTTGTTTCAACTTATCAATAAGATATTTCAATGCATTTATACTATGGATGGTACAATGAGAATTATGGTGTTTCATACAAGTTAATTTACAGAGCCACCGCCATTAGTACATCACAGTCCATGTACTACTGCATCTATTAAAACTATTCACTACAGAATTACTACTGATCTGCAGAATTAAAACACAATATGGAGTAGAATGTGCCAGTAAATTACGGAAAGTTAAAATACTGCATACAGTACATGCATATGAAGAGGCAATAAGCCAGTATTACACACAACAGTGCAGGTTCATCTTTCAGAATCTCTATGTATCACATACTACATACACAGATATTTGGACGTATCATTGTACCTAATAATGACCTACATTGACACGACAGCACATTGACCGACATTTTTCCACACAAACAGAATTCCCCATTTGGCCTTTAAACAGATTGTTGGGGCAAGCGCTGTTAGCGAGCACCTATGAAGACCGGCACGGTACACGTGTTGGGTTGTGGGTGACCAGCACCACGCCCGGCCGCCTTTGTCTCCCCCGAGTGATATTTACGCATCGCACCAGGTACTAATTTGAAGGTTGAGTCGACCTAGAGTGAGGTTACCGGTATCAGATAACTGCATTTCGTTACCGAAAGTTGGTCGCGAGCCGAAATCCAACTCGGATTCGGTGGCCGGGTTCAAAGCGCGGCGCGCTAACCACTGCGCCACCGCTCCCCCCTCCGCCACACAGCAGCCGCCGTTCACCACGCCGGCCTGTGCCAGGCTAGGTGCACCTCGGGACCACCGAGCGAAGTGGGTAAGGATCACGCGAGCGCGCACACAGTCGGCGTGTTCCACGTTTGCCAAGGGACAATGGGTTACGGCCCGGTAGCACAACGACCACACATAGCACGGACCCAACACTGTCAGGACTCAACACACAACGCGGACCAACAATGCCAGAGAGCGGCAGCAGCAGCAGCAGCAACAACAGCCGCCATTCGCCACTAAGCGGCGGTGACGTCCCCACGGCGCTTGTGCCAGGCTAGGTGCACGTTGAGGCTAGCACGTGAAGTGTCGAACGCCCGCTGGCAGGGAGGTCACGGGGCAGACCCAGCAGGTGCCACGGGTCGACTGAGATGACTGGCTGATGCACCACCTGTGCCCCCTAACTGTGCCAACCTGCTGCGCTTTAGCCACCCGGCGCTCCGCTCGTTGTTGTGAGCGTCGCTCATCCGCCCTCCGTTGTTGTTGGAGGGCGACTGCCTCCAACTGCCCAGTAGCATCCTTCACGAGCCTCCTCCACAGAGGCCGATCTTGACACCGCTGGTACCAGTCATCGGCAAGTCCACTCAGCTCTACGTGCCTCCCGTACCACATCACTCCATCTCTTCTCTAGCCACGTGCCTCCCGTACCACATCGCTCCATCTCTTCCCTAGCCCGTGCAACGCGCCCGTTTAGCCCCCCTCGATCCGGCCGAACAAAAGCTGTCGAGGCACGCGGGCCACACGACGACTGGGCCCAGCCAACAGCGCCAGAGAGCGCACACAAACACACGGGGCACAGCGAAGAACGGGGCCCAACAAGAGGCCGAACGGGGCCCAACAAGAGGACGAACGGGGCCCAACAAGAGGACGAACGGGGCCCAACAAGAGGACGAACGGGGCCCAACAAGAGGACGAACGTCCCCCCACCCCGAGGCTCTTCTCGTCCATTACCTGTCCGATCGATCGCCTCCCTCGCAATCCATGGCCTCGCCGATCACCTCCGAGCGAGCGGGCGTGGTGGTGGTGGTGGTCAACTCCGTTGCAGCCATGGACGCCGGTGTTTGTTCGGTGGACGAGGTGGAGGACGACGAGGAGGATGGCCGCGGTTTGTGCTGGGGGCTTGGAGACTAAGGACGGGCGGGTGCGGTGGAGAGTTGGGGGGGAGGTGGAGGCGGCGAGAGAATTTCCAGAGACTTCGATAGAGAGCGGCCCCTGCTGGTGCCAGACAGCCGCAACATCGGTGACAGCGACTCCTGCTGGACAGGAATATTAACAACTTGAACAGCCATAATATCACGTGGGGGTGGGGTGGTGGTGGTGGTGAGGTCGCGTAAATATTTCAGGGGCCGTCCATAAATGACGTCACGCACCTATGGGGTGGGGGGGTCAGACATTTGTGACGATGTGTGACGAGGGGGGGGGGTATAGTCTTGGTTCTTTCGGTAAAGTCACCCACGTAGAGGGGAAACAATAAAATAATAAAAATATAAAAAATAACATTCCCACGACGTTTCGACTGCGATACAAGCAATCATCATCAGGTGTGATAAACCACAGCAAGAAAATTTTATAGTTTTTATTTTATTTATTGTTTCCCTTCTACGTGGTGACTTTACCGAAAGAACCAAGAATATGAATCCCTGCAGTGACGTCACATCAAAATGCGCAACTTTAAATAAATATGGACAACACGTTCTACTTAATAAATGTTTCATCCTACAACATCAGAGTGCAGCGGCACATTAAATACGCACTACAATGACAATAGTTTAAAGCGATTTGAAGCATATTCTTGGTTCTTTCGGTAGTCACGTAGAAGGGAAACAATAAAATAATAAAAATATAAGACAATAAAATTCTTAGGTGATGATGATTGCTTGTGTTGCAGTCGAAACGTGAGAATTGTATTGTTTTATATTTTTATTATTTTATTGTTTCCCTTCTACGTGACTTTACCGAAAGAACCAAGAATATGAATCCCTGCAGTCTAGAAAGCTTTAAATCAAGATTTGAAGCATGTTTTATTTGGGGCGGAGGGGGGCAGAGCTTTGTGACGTCATATTTGAGGGGGGGGGTCTGACTTTTTGTGACTAAGTGTGACGAGGGGGGGGGGGGGGGGGGGCAAAAATCGTCCAAAATCGCGTGACGTCATTTATGGACGGCCCCTAAATGTTGTATCGTGAATCCCACCACCATACGACACAGCCAATTACTAAACAATTTGTCACGTAGCCAGAACGTGCAGATTCTTTACTAGATACAGCACCACCGGTGTGTTGGAGAGCCAAGGCACAACGTTAACAATCTGAGCGCGACGTTTCGTCAAGTAATTACAACCAGCTTCATCAGGCGACAGCCAGATTTGTGGAGAAGTCCAACTGCCTCGTTCCTTAAACAGAGGGGTAGATGCGGTTTGTGTGTCCGCTCTTCTTGCGCGAAGTGGGTAAGGGGGGGGGGGTTAATGCATACATATTTATATAATGCATATAATTACTATGGGTATCCATTGACAAACCTTACTAATTGGCTGTCGGGTGGTGGCGGGTTTAACGGCACATTGATATATTTACGCGATTTAACCCAAACAAAAAACCTCTATTATGGATGATATTGGTTGCGAAAGCCTACGTGTTAAACTAACTTGAACATCATCATCGCCAACAACCGCACAATAAAATGGGACCTTTTTTGCCTGTATCAAAAGTTTGGAGAGAAAAAAAACTTAAATAAGCCTTAATCTTTCTTGCAACAAAGCAGGTGATCAAATGTTCAAACACCTTTCGCAAGAAATCAACTGCTGCATTAGCCACGCGTACTTGTGTTGAGCATACAAACAAAAACGTGCTCTGATAATAATAATTATATATGGCATCGTCTTTGAAACTGATCGGGCTCCACCAGAGTCAGCAGCCTTCTTGAGGGCCTAGGAGCTTCAGCACTGACAGAGCAGAGAACGCCAAAAGGCGAACAGTGCAAAGACATTGCACGATCAGGGCAGTTATAGCTCGGAGTGAACAGCTACACAATTGTTCACAAGTACGCGTAGGTAAATGCAGACCATGGACTCCTTGCAAAAGGTTTATATAACACCTGTTTTATTGCCAAAAAGTGTAAAACCTATTCTTAAAAAAAAACCTATACAAATACTCTGTACTGGATTGTACGTGAATGTACAGGTTTGGTTCCAGATGTCTTGTGACCCTATAACATTGCTTTTTTCTCTTTGCTTATCTTAGACAATTAGAATTGTCCGTTGTACAGACCTACAATGACACGCCACATTGACTGACATTGTCACAAACAGAATTCCCATTTAGCCTATATCACCATATTGGTATCCAATATGATTACGTTTCATTGGAGAATTAAATGGGGATCGCAAGACATACATTTTTTTTTTTTAACATGGGATTGTATAACGGTTGTTTAGCACAGAATTAAAAAGGCCCCGAAAAACTCGCCAACCTTTAATTTGGGGAAGTGGCCACGAACAAACGGCGAAATGCAACCCACGCTGTGGACCGTCGTAAATAGAATCAGAATATTTATTTCATACTGGAGGAATCCGATGAGCTATCAAGCTCTTTTTTTCCTCCTACGGGGAAAACAACACGACTCATCCCCTGGAGCCGTCACGTCATGGCGAGCAGACCTCGACATTGTCTTCCATCTAGCTTCCTGCCCAGCGTACACAAGAATAGAATGTATCGTGACTAAATGCGATCGAATTGCAGGACTCTGTACATAAACATTGGACGTATTTTTGATATGCGAGACGGTCATGCAGGGTGTGTAGCGGGTACTGGAACTTAGGGCGGGGAGTCGACAGCACGTATGGCTGAAGGAAATAATTCCGGGCTGTCGGGGCAGCAAAAAATGAACAACGATCAACTAAAATCTGAAACCAGGGAGCCATGATTAAGTTATATTTACAATAATATTGTAGCGTACTTGACCACCTTTTGCTTACTCACTACCGGATGAATGCCTCCCAAGGCTGGTGGGAAATGGTGGGAGCGAGCATACTTCACCACGCTGGTCATTGCGGATTGAAGGTGGCGGGACCAAACTGGACGTGAAAAAAAGCTTTATAGCTCATCGGATTCCTCTAGTATAAATATTCTATCACTCGCCACTGGTACTAAAAAATACAAGTGTGCTGCGTGGTGGGTCGGGCGCTGTATATTACACCACAAGCACCACGAATACTACTAGCCCGAGTACTTTATCATCACATTAAATCTTACATTTACGTTCAGGCATATCTAATCATAAAGCCACCAAGTTCCGTTAGCCACAATCGCCTTGCAATTACCGTTTTTATTGCGCAAAGCTGTGCACCCAACAGGAATGTAACCAACAATGAAGACAAATCTGGCTGTCGCCTTATGAAGCTGGTTGCAACTACTGGCGAAACGTCGTACTCTTGATTGTAAATGTTGTGGCTTGGCTCTCCAACACACCGGTGCTGTACTAGTGACGAATTGGCCACGTTCTGTTTACGTGACAACGCTTACGAGTTGGCTGTGTCGGGTTTTAACGACACATTTACGCGATCTAACCCAAAAACCTATATTATGGATATTGGTCGAGAAAGCCTCCTGCGTGTTAAGATGGAATGTTTTGAATTTTAAGTCAACATTTATGCACAATTTTTAATAATTGGCCGAGCTACATTCCAGTTCATGTAAAGACAATGTCTCAACGGCAGGGCTGCCACCTATTCGTTGTTTCAAATTCAGTTGTTTTGAGAATAGGTTTTCCCCCTTTTTTCGTGAAACAAAACAGGTGTTGAGATGTTAAAACACCAAACTGAAACCTTTTACAAGGAATCATGTCTGCATTAACCATAATGCAAACAAAAAAACACTGATAATATATGCAGTCTTTGAAACTGGTGTGGACCAGTTTCAAAGACAATGCATATCAGTGTTTTTTTGCATTCTGACCACAAGTATTGTGGTTAATGCAGACATGATTCCTTGTAAAAGGTTTCAGTTTGGTGTTTTAACATCTCAACACCTGTTGTTGCACGAAAAAAGGGGAAACCTTTTCTCATATTTTGGTGCTGGCAAAGGTCCCATGTCTTGTTTTGATGACAGAAATTAATTTGTACTGAGATCTCGTGGTATTAACTTTATTAAAATGTGGCAGTTTTGATATATCTCAGGCTGAGAAATGTCCAGGTTTGGTCTGTGGAAAAGGTTGGAACTCAACTCTGACTACAAGTTTTGAACATGTGGCCAGTCATTTGACTGAATGTCTGAAAATAGTTTAAGTGTACACCAGTGTATCAACCCAACTCATTTGTAAATTGCTTTGTAAACCTTTGTAATGGTTGTCTTCTATGCAATAAAAGTGTACATTATAAAACTATTAGAAGCCGATATATACTCATCAGTTATCTCCTCAGTGTCGTGATCAATCTAGCTGATCTCACCAGTGGTCATCTTATACTTCATTTGTCCATTTCTCAATCTTGACCATCAACCGTGCCTTGTAGGTTGTCCTGCCCAAGCCAGATCCATTTGAAGTCAATCACTCCTTTATACGTACTCCGATCCATGTTTGCTTGGTGTCGTTCAAACCATTCACCTCTCCACATTTGTTCACTTTTCAGGTTTTGTTCAATTGCCCATTTACAATCCATGTCATCGCATTGTTTCAACAACAAAAAACATGACATGGGACACCTTGAAAATGTCAACGAAAAATTACTTTCCATTGTTCAGCTGGTGTCCCATTTTATTCCAAGTTGAAACACAGAAGTGATATGTACATTAAGCGAGTCGCACAATGTAAATAAATGTGATAATTTTATTTAGATACAGCTCAATGCAAACGGCGCCAAACCTTTCCTGGCATTACTCTACTGTTGTCTTGGCAGCAGCTACATTGTCAGCTCCTGCAAAAAAATAACACATTTGGATGTTAAAACAATGTGTAGAAATAACGATTTTAAAACTGTGTCTATCAAATGCAGTCATATTTTTGAGAATATTGTATTATCAACTTCACCTTGTTTTGTGCTGTATGTAACACAAACCTAAATTATTTTTTAACTCTAAGAAAGCTTTCTGGGGGAATTTTTACAATTGCTATGGTCACTGAAGATGTTACAGAAATGTAAAATTTCAATGTAATAAATTTTTTAAGAAATTACATTCACTATTTTGTAATTTAATTGTCTTATTTTCAAACTGAACATTGGACAATGTGAGCTTTATTTCACAATAACAGCGATAAAAGTGGAGCAATGCACTATAGGTCACTGCATTAACATACCATGATGGCATTGACTATGTCGTTGCTGTTGTTTTTGAGCGCGCGCACAGCCTTGGAGCGAGACACATTGGCCTGGGACATCACAAGCTCGATGTCCTTGGCCTCCACCCCTCCCTCGTCAACCTGCAGCCAGCACAAACATCCATAATACAGGGGGTTTTTTTGGGTTAGATCACGTAAGTGTGTCGTTAAACCCACCACCACCCGACAGCCAATTAGTAAGGAATGAGTTGTCACGTAAACAGAATATGCCAATCGTTCATAGTACAGCACACTGGTGTGTTGGGACAGCCAAGCCACAACAAAAATGTAAGAATTTTAATGAAGATGTTACTTTTAAGGCAATCGTCAGTGTAAAATATAAACTACATTTTGTATTTGCATTGTAGATATGTAAGTAGTTTGAGGAACAAGCAAACCTCATCTTCCTCTTCACTCTCTTCCTGCACTGGTGCTGGCTGCACCCTCTCCTGCACACCTGGTGCTGCCTCCCCTGGCACCTTGAACTTCTCAGCAGCTGCCATCTGCGCCTGCTGGGACAAGTCTTCAATCTGTACGCGGGGGGCACAGCGGTCAGGTCAGTGCTGGCACGTGGCAGCTTATTCAAACGTACAAATACCAACAGTGAGGGACAAGGTGTTAGCATTTTAGAACAAGGCGAATAAAAAATTATATGGTGAACAATGCCTGCAAATTTGCATGTAAGACAATGATAGTTTATGTTCTCTTGAAAAAAAAACACGTTTATAAATCACTGCAAATATAATAAGGAGACACATTGATATTCTAGAATGTCAACTATTTCACGATAATTTTTACATATTAAAAATTATATCAAAAACACGCGATTAAAATGTTTTATCACCTTGGCCTCTCCGAAGACAATGTACGTGTCCGAAGCCGGGCTCTTGAAGACATCGGGCTTGGTGATGACAAAGAGGATGTTCTTGGACTTTCGGATGGTGACGCGGGTCACTCCCGCAACCTGCCGCAGTCCCAGCTTGGACATGGCCTGCCATTATCGAAAACAAAGCACCATCGTCACAATCACTGACAATTGCCTTTAATTTGTAAATGTCGACCAATAAACATTCCAATCACAATCTAAAAAGCAAAAATCATTTACCAATCCCTCGGTTGTCTCACAACAGTGTATACTTACAAGTATTAATTGCTTATTATGTGCTTATCCACCATTGTCATTTGCAGTTCCTTTGTAATGTGACGTTTCTTTGTTGAAAGCCTTTTTTTTACATTGAATCGGTGTCTCCAATGTTCCACTGCAATGCTGTGCTCACCTTGCGAGCTTTCTTCTCGCTGCGGCTCTGCTTGGCCTTGCTGACCATCTCTTCATTGAGCTCTGCAGCAGCTGCAAGCTACACATCACAAAAGAGTGTTTATTGCCTTTCTGGTTGAAAAGCGCATTACTTAATTTTTACTATTCATGACTATTAGCTGTAGCTTATGTGAAAATTATCTACGTGATGAACAAGTCATAAAAAACTTCAATTATACATTATCAACATGTTTTTACAATCATCCATAACCTTGGCAATACTTCACAGAGCTTGTTTTTTTTACATAAGTAAAAAATATACAATATTGCCAGATATACAACAAAGTTGTATCCATTTGAAAATAATCACTAACCTGAGCCTGCTGCGACTCTGACTGCAGGGTTTTGTCTGTTCTTTCTTCCAGTTCAGGAATGGAGTCATCGCTGTCCGAGTCTGTCCCAGAGCCTTTAGGGAAACATTGTACCAGAGGTAAGGAAGATGACAGGATACCAAATGGACTCAAAGCCAAACAGTGAAATTAAGTATTAGTGCAAGTGAATAAAAACCACACAAAATGGAAATATTAATAACTCGATGTGTATGTTAACAATCTAAATCAACTCTCTAAGCAACTAAAACAGTGAAAGCAAACTTTGCTACATCTATATCAGCTACACAAAAAAAACAAGCCATGTCGTGATAAAAAAACCATTTGCCTTCCACACCAAAACCATGCAACAATGTCTCAGCCAGCAGCCCAGTTACAGTGCTCGAAAAAAATTATTATGAACATGTTTGGCTTGAAAAGCACATGGGCATGTTCTATTATGTTAACAAAAAAATCCATAAAAAACACACACATTAGTAATGCAATTCATTCAAACGTTATGAATTTGCACTCTGCAAGCAATTACACGCCAAGTGCACCAAAGCAGGAGTAGTACAAGTACCCTTGTCTTTGATAATGACGGGTTGCTTCACTACAGCTGGCTTCAGGGTGGGCCCACCATCCAGAACTACAGGGGTTTCTAATATTGTATGGTCTGGGCCGTTGTCCTTGAATGGAATGAGGGGGGGCAGTTCATCTTCAATGATTGAAGGTACCACAGGGGCAGCAGGAGAGGAAAGGTTGGTGGCTGATGGTTTTTCAGGTTTTCCTTTAGGAGACTTTGGAACTTGTACTTTGGCCTCAGCTTTAGTTTTGGTGCCTTTAGCATGGAGCTCAGGTGTAGCCAGACTCGGGTCAGGCTTAGACTTGGCTTCGGATGGGGATGCCTTAAGTTTAGCATTTTGAGCAGGAGGCTTAGGTTGGTCTTTCTTAGACTGAGTCTCCGAGTCAATTTTCTTAGACTGGACTTTAACAGCTGCTTTTTGTTGCGGTTCAACTGGTGGAAGTGGTTCATGTGCAGATTGTATAGACTGGGCAACTGGGGCAGCTAACTCATGAACAGCTGATTTTTCGTGAACCTCAGGGGCTAATTTAGCTTGGGCCTTGAGAGCAGTTGATTTAACCTGGGCTTTTGGGTCAGTTGGTTTAGCCTCGACCAATTCTTGAGTGGATTTAGCCTCATTATCAGCTGCTTTAGCCTGAACCTCGGGGGCAGCTGGTTTGGCCTGAACTTCCGGGGCAGCTGGTTTGGCCTGAACCTTGGGGGCAGCTGGTTTAGCCTGAACCTCAGGGGCAGCTGGTTTACCCTGAACCTCAGGGGAAGCTAGTTTAGCCTGGACCTCGGGGGCAGCTGGTTTAGCCTGGACCTCGGGGGCAGCGGGTTTAGCCTGGACCTCGGGGGCAGCTGGTTTAGCCTGGACCTCGGGGGCAGCTGGTTTAGCCTGGACCTCAGGGGCAGCTGGTTTAGCCTGGACCTCGGGGGCAGCTGGTTTAGCCTGGACCTCGGGGGAAGCTGGTTTAGCCTGGACCTCAGGGGCAGCTGGTGTAGCCTGGACCTCGGGGGAAGCTGGTTTAGCCTGGACCTCAGGGGCAGCTGGTGTAGCCTGGACCTCGGGGGAAGCTGGTTTAGCCTGGACCTCAGGGGCAGCTGGCTTAGCCTGGACCTCAGGGGCAGCTGGTTTAGCCTGGACCTCGGGGGCAGCTGGTTTAGCCTGGACCTCGGGGGAAGCTGGTTTAGCCTGGACCTCAGGGGCAGCTGGTGTAGCCTGGACCTCGGGGGAAGCTGGTTTAGCCTGAACCTCGGGGGCGGCGGGTTTAGCCTGGACCTCGGGGGCAGCTGGTTTAGCCTGGACCTCAGGGGCAGCTGGCTTAGCCTGGACCTCGGGGGAAGCTGGTTTAGCCTGGACCTCGGAGGCAGCTGGTTTAGACTGGACCTCGGGGGAAGCTGGTTTAGCCTGGACCTCGGGGGAAGCTGGTTTAGCCTGGACCTCGGGGGCAGCTGGTGTAGCCTGGACCTCGGGGGCAGCTAGTGTAGCCTGGACCTCGGGGGCAGCTGGTTTAGTCTTGACCTCGGGGGAAGCTGGCTTAGCCTGGACCTCGGGGGAAGCTGGTTTAGTCTTGACCTCGGGGGAAGCTGGCTTAGCCTGGACCTCAGGGGAAGCTGCCTTAGCCTGGACCTCGGGGGAAGCTGGCTTAGCCTGGACCTCGGGGGTAGCTGGCTTAGCCTGGACCTCGGGGGAAGCTGGCTTAGCCTGGACCTCAGGGGAAGCTGGCTTAGCCTGCACCTCAGGGGTAGCTGGCTTAGCCTGGACCTCAGGGGTAGCTGGCTTAGCCTGGACCTCAGGGGAAGCTGGCTTAGCTTGTACCTCAGGGGAAGCTGGCTTAGCCTGCACCTCATGGGTAGCTGGCTTAGCCTGCACCTCAGGGGAAGCTGGCTTAGCCTGCACCTCAAGGGAAGCTGGCTTAGCCTGGACCTCAGGGGAAGCTGGCTTAGCCTGGACCTCGAGAGAAGCTGGCTTAGCCTGGACCTCGAGGGAAGCTGGCTTAGCCTGGACCTCAGGGGTAGCTGGCTTAGCCTGGACCTCGAGGGAAGCTGGCTTAGCCTGCACCTCAGGGGTAGTTGGCTTAGCCTGGACCTCGGGGGAAGCTGGCTTAGCCTGGACCTCGGGGGAAGCTGTTTTAGTCTCGGTGGCAGCTGGTTTAGCCTCGGGGGATGCTGGTTTCGCCAGAACCCATGCTTTAGCCTGAGCTTCAGGGGCCTGTTTAACATCACCAGTTTTAGATAGGGCGTTAGGAGTTTCTAGTTTGGGCTGGGGAATAGGTATCTGATTGACCTCAACAGAAACAGCAGATGTAACGGGTGACTCAAGGGCAGAATACGCTGCTGCTGATTTAGTGTTGGCTTCTGGAGCAGCCAGTATTGGCTGATGCTGTGCAGCAATTCCTTTAAATTTGGTATCTGTAAAATCAGGGGCAAGTGACTGAGGACTGGCGTCTGGGTTAGGTACATTAGCTGCAGATTGAGAAACAGGAGGCTGAATCATATCTAAATAAGACTGAGAAGTAAGAGAAGGCTCATTGACAGCAGCAGATGAAATTGCTGCAATTGACACAGGAAAGGATTCTTGAGAAGGGGAAGGGCAAGCCTGCAGAGGATCTGGCAGAGTAGCAGCTGTAAAAGTAAACACAAAGGTAAGTGTTTGAGTTAAAAGTACTTTCAAACATACAATGAAGTCAGCATGTGTAAGAAATACATAACATTTATGAGAATAAATAACATTTAACATTACCACCACATTCTAACGAGTCTCACTAGCAATGATTGACACTTTGATTACCACTACTCAATGTACCTGTATTAGCCTTTGGACAGACACGCTCAAGAGTGGACGAGGAATGCGTGGGGAAACCTCCCACTGATTTGGAGAATCCTGTCTCAGAAGTATCCTCAGCCACAATTGGCTTGGTCAGCATTGTGGGTTCAGGGAAGGCAACAGGGTCAAGAATAGGAAAAGAAGCTTGCTTAACATGATCAGCTTTACTAAAGCTAAAAGCAGACCCACTTTCTACAGTTGTGCTCTCCACGGCCCTTTGTGTTTGATCCCTACACGGGGTGGAGAGGACAAGGGCAACTGGTGCCTGCTCATGCGATGAATTTCGTTCTTCGGTTGCTGCATTTATTTTGGACACGGGCAATAACGGGCACACCATCCCAATGTGGCCTCCAAATGAACAATCAGATTCCAAATGCGTATTTTCCAGATCCTTTTTCTGAACAGTGTCAATTTCAAGATCTGAATTCGACAAAGTTAGGCATGTATCATCATGCTCAAGTAAAATGTTATCTTGGTGAAAGCTTTCATTTTGCATAGTGCTATTTGATATGGTAGCAGTCTCTGCAGTAGTTTTACTAAGTGCATCAGGCTTAAGCTCCAAAAGCACCTGCCCAAGTTTAGCATCAACAGCACTGCATGTTTCAGGTTGTTCCTTCCCACTTATCACTGTTTGTAATGATGGATAACCAGGATTTTTTAATTCTTCAGACAGCCCATGCACAGCTGAACATTCAAGTATTTCACTTTTGATAAACATTTTAATATTGCACACATCATTGTTATTCTTCTTCTCTTCTTGTGAACATCTTGCATCCCTTAGCACAGCATTTGTAAGTGATGATTGATTTTTATCAAAGGTTACAGTTTCATAGATTTCTGCCGGAGGCGTGGTCATTAAATTGTTCACAGACGGTGAGTAATGCCATGGGTCTGTAGTTGGATGGACTTGGTCTGCCACGTTGTTATTTTTAATATCATCCACTACAGCCTTTACAAGAAATTCAGAGCAATCTAAGATGCTGTCATCTGTGTTGCATACGTTCTTTTTTGCTACATTACATGACTGAAAATCACATTCTGCAAAGTTGTCTTCAATGGCTAGAGGAACTTCATTTCCTGATATTTCCTGATTATATTCTATGTTATCCAATATGTCAACCTCAGCATCCATACTTTTGTCATCAAATGGCAATTCCTCAAGCGACAAAGACAAACGTGGTTTTGGAGAAATCACTTCATACAAACATGTGTGATCATTGTTAAAGACGTTGGAGATTCGATGATCAGATTCAATTGCATCAGACACAAGAACACCTGATTGAACAACTTGGTTTAAAGATGCTTCGCTGGCTAAAGCATCTACCAAACTCTCTGGCAAACAAGTGTCTGCAGAACTTAAAATATTTTTGGCCTCATATTTTTCCCCAATTGCAATGTCTTCTCCTGTGGAACAATACATATGGTCGGTTAAATGACTAGAGATGCAACATTCTTGCATTTCAGCTTCAGAGTCGGAAGGAAAATCGAGACTCTCTTTTTCTTCAAATGAATGATCTTCCGATAACAATATTTCATCATTTTCATCAGCTCCAACAGTCACAGAATATGCAGGCTTGTCAAGATGGGAAAAAGTGCAGGTAAAGTCGGATTCGTCTTCCAAAGACGTCTTGTCCGAGCGATTTACTAAAGGTCTATCCAAAAAGACTGCAGAGGAGTCAACAGAACAGTCGGTGTTGCTTGATGGCACACAATGATATACAGCGTTACTAGCAGCATCAACATTAACATGGCCAGCTTGAACATGCATGGTATTTATTGCAGTTGCCTCAGGCATGAAATAAGCATTACATGAATGAATTATCTGCATTTTACTACCACTGAAAATTTCACATTTATCACAAACAGAAGTGCAAGGCAGGGTACCTGCACCCTCATGTTGATCTACAGCAAAACGCTGTACCAAAGGCATTCCGGGATCTTTTTTACATGAAAGCTGGGTGCTTCTTGAAGCAGTTGTTATGTCACAACAGTTACAATCATAATCGAATGGCTGATGGCTAGTCACATACTGACGTTTTGCTTTGCGTACAACTAAATCTGGAGTTTGCGCTCCACTTCTATCTTCAGCATTGAACAAAGCTTCAGAGCTGGACGACTGTCGAGATCCAAATGCTCTCTTTATAGCCTTCAATGGCCTCTTTGACCGGTGTCTTGGTGACATTATTGGCGATGAAGGTGCAGTGAAGTAAAGCTCATTTTCAAAATCGCAAACGTCAAACTTCATCTCTGCAAAGGATATAGCATGTTGCTCTGTATCACTGTCTTCAGACCTTATGGAAAACGAAGAAGCAATGCTGAAAAATGCATCCTTTTCTCCATCACTTACCTGGGAAAATTCTATATCTGAAGCCACAGGAGTTTCCAACTCTGACTGTATATAATCAAAAGGAATCTCTTGGAATGCAGCACTGTGAACATCAGCCTCGTCGCCTAAACAGTACGAATTACAAGATTCTGATGATGCAGATTCATTTACATCGTATTCTTCACGTTCCATGGCGGCAAAGTCTGAAGTTTCTTCATGCTGCATGGGGCATTCTTCAGAACAACATGAGATGTGATGATGTTCCTGGCAGAAATGAGGTGCGCAACCTTCCTCTAAACCCACTGCATGAACACAACCCTCCTGGTAGAATGGAACTTTTTGTGATGCAGTCGTGCGAGTTGGTGTTAAACTTGGACAGTTGCCATCAAGTGATTCAACACGTTTAATTTCACCCGGTGCTCGAGAAGCGTGAGCTGTGAGAGGGTCACGCCGATCTAAAGACTCAACAAATGAACATTCGCATGCAATGTCGCCCACGACAGTGTCGGGCGAGTCTGAATTGTGCCTAAGCAGGGCCACGGGAACAAAATGGTCGGCATCAGAAAGGGCGAGGATAGATGGGGGGGATTGAGGGACACTGGATGATGAAGGGGGTTGCGTGCCTGCAACTAAACTAGAAAGGGGGCTTTCTAAGCCAGTAGTATTGGCTACAACATGCAGCAAAGAAACAAAACAGGGAGAATTGGGTTTGTAAAACAAATTAAAAAAGAGAGAGATAAGAAGAGGTTAGTACAAGGCCATCATTGCCTTTTGAAATGCAAAAAATGTGGGCATTTTAACTTTAACGCTTCAATTCAAACTTTCCACTGTTAAAGTAGCTGTATACCAAAAGCGAATACACACAGAGAAGGGCAGTTTAATGATAGGTAAAGCATTCTTCACCAGCGACTTTAAATGCTTCTGAAGTTTGGAATATTCAAACAAAAACATGGGAGTGTAAACTCGAGCACAGACGAAGATCCAACTGAAACACTGCAAGTTAATTCGATTTAAGACCAAAGTTTTTATTTAGAAAAAAAATCACAAATGTGGTCCAATTTAACCGTACACTCACCCGATTCAACCTGAACTTCTTGCATTTGCTTAGTTTGCTGCGGCTGCTGCTCTGCAGCAAGTGCAGATTCTGTCGTTTCGCCAGGCATTTCTAGAAATAAAAAAATAGACGTTACTCAGCATTCATTTGGGTAACTAATTACGCCCCAAGAACTCTCTCACAGCTGCACAAAGAGAAGCACTTTTTTTTCCTCGTCTCAGCTGTCGAATGCAAATACGTTTCAACACGTTTTCTCCCGGCTCCGTTTTCAAGGATATTTTTAGCCCCGCCAAGGAATGTGAATAAGATATGTAACAAAAAAAAGTTTGGAATTTGTAAAACTGCCACATGATTTGACTTAAGAAAAAAAAAACAGAAAGTGACTCTTGGGAAGAGATAAAACAATATTCGAGTCACTTTTTTAAGTACCGTGTCAATTTTTTTTCCACGGCGTTTGCCATAATTTATTTGCGCAATGCATCAAGTGCCGGTGGCAACATTTCCTCGCCGCTGTGCCCGGTACATAATTAACTGCGGGTGGGCCGAATGAAGTAATCCCGCACGCCCCATTAATGGGAGACCCGCGGTTTCCTTCCACTTGGGGATGAGACGCGTTGGGGTGTTGCGTTGCAGGCGCATATTACAGGAGAGAGGGCTGCTCAAGGTTACATTGCATCTCAGTCCAGATGGGATTGTAGCTACGCGTCCCCCACAAGATAAAATGACTCTCTCGCTCCGTTCCTGTCAAAGGATTAATCCGTGCCGTGACCGCACAACTCCCATCATGTCTCCTCTCCGCTACCACGTACGCCATCATCTTCATGTTTTGTCAACCACCTCCCAAAACACTGCAATCGCCAAGTTCCATCATCGCCCACCAACCTCCTCCTCCTCCTCTCCATCTCCCTCCACATTCGTTACCACCAATTTCATAACCACCCTTCAACAACTTCCAACACCCACGACATTCACCATCACTCACCGCAACTTCACCACCACCTTCTCAATGAACATATTGGCACAGCACAGCCCAGCCTCACAAATCACAGTCTGATCGTCCCGGTCACCTTGGCCCAAGTATACGGGGAGCGAACGCGATAGTGGAACACGAGGGAGAAAGGGGGGCAGTGGCACGAGGGAAGAAGGCAGCATCGATGAGGCCCAACGCAGGCGGCCGCGACCCACCCTGCACGACCGTCCCCAGCACCGCCGCGGAATCCGCCATGACCGAACGTGCCGGCCCTGCGGGGCGCTTCGGTGAACCGCGCCGAGTCACAACCACCGCCGAGACCGTGACGGGCGGCGATGGGATCGGATGGCGACGGATTGCGTCTATAGTCGGGAGGATCGCGCCAACTCACCGCTGAGCGGACCAAGTCCCTTGCCTTCGCCGGCAGAAGAGAGCGCAGCTTCCGTTTCCGGGGCGTACGGGGGGTGGGGGGCGCGGGGGGGCGAGAAGGGGGTCACGTGACGTCACCTCCGCCGGAGCAAGCATGGCGGCGTGTATCGGCTGCGCCAGGGGTCACTTGCAGGTACGGGGAGCAAAGAGAACGCCACTCGCTTCACTTTCTCACAAACCCCCTCCCGTCTTGCATTGTCTGCTCTGCTGCCCTGCTCCGCTCGGCTCGGCTCGCTGACGGCGCAGCAATTGGGAACTGGCTACCAGCAGCGCGGGCGCAGCCCGAGGCGTGCGGGCACGTGGCCGGTTTGTGGGTGAGACCGCTGGTGTCGCGGAGGTCGCTTGGCAGCAGCAGCACGTGTCCTGGAGTCGTGCAGAGGACCCCGGCGCACGGAGCCCCCCCTCCAACGCCTCCACTGTGGGAGCCGTGGGGTTCTCTGTCTCCGTGGGGTTCCTCGTGCTATCGCTATGCCACACGGCTCGCCCCCCTCGTATTAGTCTCTATGCCTTTCCGCGTTGTCATCGTGACTCGCCCCGAGTCTCCGTTGCTCCCCGTGTATTTTTCGTAGCTTCCCCTAGAGTCGTGGTCCCCTCCCCTGGGGTTCTTGTTGTGGTCGCCAGTTTGATGTCTTTGGGTGGCTATGGCTCCCCCTCGGCGTAATGCGCGCGAGTTCCCGTGACTCCCACGGTGGCTCACCGCGAGCCCTCTTGGGCTTGCATGAGTTCAGCTGGGCTCCTTAATGGCTCTCCCAGGCTTTCTCCTGATGTCCTCTGTGTCCCCGTGAGGTCCTCTGTGTCCCCGTGAGGTCCTCTGTGTCCCCGTGAGGTCCTCTGTGTCCCCGTGAGGTCCTCTGTGTCCCCGTGAGGTCCTCTGTGTCCCCGTGAGGTCCTCTGTGTCCCCGTGAGGTCCTCCGTGTCCCCGTGAGGTCCTCCGTGTCCCCGTGAGGTCCTCCGTGTCCCCGTGAGGTCCTCCGTGTCCCCGTGAGGTCCTCCGTGTCCCCGTGAGGTCCTCCGTGTCCCCGTGACGTCCTCCGTGTCCCCGTGAGGTCCTCCGTGTCCCCGTGAGGTCCTCCGTGTCCCCGTGAGGTCCTCCGTGTCCCCGTGAGGTCCTCCGTGTCCCCGTGAGGTCCTCCGTGTCCCCGTGAGGTCCTCCGTGTCCCCGTGAGGTCCTCTGTGTCCCCGTGAGGTCCTCTGTGTCCCCGTGAGGTCCTCTGTGTCCCCGTGAGGTCCTCTGTGTCCCCGTGAGGTCCTCTGTGTCCCCGTGAGGTCCTCTGTGTCCCCGTGAGGTCCTCTGTGTCCCCGTGAGGTCCTCTGTGTCCCCGTGAGTTGCCCTGGCTTGTTGTGGCGCCCCCTGCCTCCCGTAGTTCCAGATTGTAGGTTCTCTCATTAGACTCGAAGTGACCAAAACACGGTTTGCACCGATATTTGTTTCAGTCCGAAGAGCAGACATATCTCTAGATAATTGTAAATATTACCATTTTATTGCGAGATGTAGGCACAAATCGCATTTCTAAGTATTACACGTTACATTACGCCGCCACAGGTGCTAAGTATAATTGTAAATTCGTTCGTATTGTGGTCAGGTTGCATTTGGTACTGATGAAATGTAGTGCCCGATTACCCTATGTTTCAATTCACTGTCTGGTTGGAAATAAAATTTCAATGCAAGTTGTTCCAAAACATTGCCACAATACAGTATGGTTATTCACCTTATTCTAAGAAACAATCTTAAGCTTAACTTGGATGCATTTGTCAGGGTTTGTCTCAGTAATGTAATGTTCAATTACTGTACTAAAAATGTTATAATGCAAACAACAGTGAGATGCTGCACAGCCTTAAAATGTTATATATATTTTTTCTAAGTTCATGGCAACATTGTGTTTGTTGTTAGCCTTTTTGTAACCATGTCAAACCATATAGCTGGTTTATACTGGAGCAAATTCAATGACCTGTCACTGGAATAAACTGGGATATAATGACAGGAGTGCGTTTGATTTGCAAGCCATGTGCCTCCCACCCCCTATTTGTGCCATTTCTCCCAACAGATTTGAGCATTGCAGGAGGCTTTACCACAACCAATAAGATACCGAATCATCGATCCTGTGCCTCCTCTGCAATGTCTCTGTGCTTAATGAACCAAGCTGCCAGAATATCGGTCCACGGTTTGAATCCCATCAGAGCCTCCTTAGCTCTTCTTCGGGTCCAGCGACATCACAGCTTGGTGCTCAGAAACCTTAAGAGAATTGAAGCAGTTGGTCAAAGCAACACGTCCTGTGGGAACATCAGAGCGTACAAATGGGCACACACAACTGTTGCCATTGGTGAGCCGCAGAATGAAGATTCTTTGGGCAAGAAGGAAGCGGCTCAGGATGATGTTGGAGAGCAGTTGGAGGAGGAGGATTCTTCGAAACGTCAAGAAAGCAAGAGACAAGCGCCCCGTACGGTGGAGCAACTGCTTGCGCTGGCCAACACCAAGGACCTAATCCCATGGCGAGCGGCGGAGGCTGTGTCACAACTAGGCCTAGCTGTTGGAAGAGATCGGGTCCAGAAAGAGCAAGTCATCAGTGACCCTCGCCTTCAGTATATTCTTAAAGCTGCTGAAAGCCAGGTACATTTTTCTTGCCATCTCATTCTATAAAGGTTTTGTTGTATGGCTTTAAACTATTTTTAAAAAATGTCTTCTGTCTTGAAAGTAAAAAAAATTATTTCCTGGTTGTGTTTGATACATGTGTCAGTAGAATGAATGTACATTTTCTCAAGAATACATTTTTTTTTTGCACATTGGTTATTTTGTTGAAAAAAATTCTCGCAATTTGTTTATATTTGACAACGTTTTTAAATTGTAAAATGAGGAGTGTGGTCTTGAAAATTTACGAAAAGGTGTAATAAGTCCTCGTTTTTATCGACAGATATCCTCTGTTGGGAACAGCTTGCTGCTGGGTATGCTGCGCAGTCTGCAACTTCTTTTGAACAGTGAAAAAAAGGAAACTGGCTCCGAAAGAAAAGGCAAAACCGAACAGATTATCCGCTCTTTAGAGACGGAGCTGCACTTCCGATTGCGTCGTTTAAATTTTAAGGTAAGAGTTTTCGAGATATTTTCTTGCGCAATATATTGCACCAAGTATTGCTCTATTTCAATGCACGTTGAACTTCTTTCACGCCATACCTAGCCAACTGCTAGGTGCTAATCAGAAAGACAACAAACTAAAAGCGGTTTGTAAGGAATTAGTTTTCAATCTATATTTAAAAATACACAGCTCCAGTGACTTCATAGTAATCAGCATTAGCTCCGATAAATTGCACGTGGAAATTCTATCCTTGTTCACGTCGAATGTGTGTGTTTTTTTTCTGTTTGGTGGTGGGATGCAGCAACTTTGCACGGCGGCAGTAATCTACTCGAGGAGCGCAGATTCAGACGGCCGGAAGGCGCTGTGGGCAGATTTGGTGAAGCACATCGAGCTGCGCTGGACGGAGATCCCTGACGCACGCACGGTCACCCTGCTCGTTACACGCATCGGCAGTGTTTCGCCCGGTTTCATGGAAAAGCTCGAAGAGAAGGTGAGGCCTTGCTGACGTGGTTTGCTTTCAGGTTGTGCAGCATGTTCAGCGCGTTGTTCAGCGTTGTCTTGACGCCTCGCTCGGCGTGCTTGGGAGCTCTTCGGGGGAACGGAACTGAAACTCTGCTCGGTTCCTCGGCACGTGCGGCGAAGCTGTCGGACGTCGTGCTTAACAGCAGGGTACAACCCAAAACACGAGAGAGCTGTACAACACAGCCATGCAAGCCCGCGTTTGTGTTACTGGAAATGTGACATTGAAAACAAAAAATGGAAGATAATTTTGTCGTTAGAATTGATGTCACAAATTTGCTTTGAATGCCAAGATTCACCGGACACTCCTGTGTGTTGTTAGGCGTTGGAGTTTGCGGAGAAAATGACTCCTTCGGAGGGGAGCAAAGTGGCTTTGGCATTTGCTTCTCGGTCTCGCCGTTCGGTGCCACTGTTCCGTGCGCTGTCGTATCACTTCACCCGGCGGCGAGTTGCCCACGAGTGCAGTGTCATCCTCGACGTGATCCATGCCTTTGGTAAGACGTGTCCATTGCTCCAACATTAAAAGCCCTTGTCAGTCTGCTGCTGCTGGATATATTCCTCCTGATGCCGTGTCAGTTTTAAGTAGTGTTTGACCATACTTCACACTGGTTTGGATTTTGCCCACCGCTGGTGTTAGCTGTGGTCAGAAATACAAAATTAAGTCACCGGGTTCATAGTGCATTGCACCGCTGTTCCTCCCTTCTATAAGTATCAGAACTATAAAAATGTTGCAGTGAATTCTTCATCTTCTACTACATTTGTATTTTCTCCCCCCACTTCCTGCAGCCTCTTCTCCCCTCACTCCCTTTGCCTATTGAATGCTTCAGACCCGTCTGTGTAGGTGTTTGCGGTCGTGCTGTGTAGCTCTCTGATGTCTTTCTGGGTTGTACCGCATGTTGTTTGGCATCCTAGAGATGTCTTCTGTCCGTGCTTTTCATATTCTCCCCCAACCATCAAAGCACCTCTTCTCAAATGTGTGCACCTTGTATAATGTTATATTGGATATAATATTGTCATTGGGCAAGTAGTTTTTAATGACAACTCTTTTTGTCTTCATTTTTTAAGTTTAAAAGATACTCTTAAGAGGATTTTTAAGTAATTGAGTGGTCGGAATATGATGTAAGAGGTTTGTTACATCACACGTAACGTGTGAAAATGTGTACCACATGAGGGCGCTTGTGAGACACAGAAACCAAAAAACGTAGTGCTTTGTACATGCAAAGTTATCTTCTGTGCAGTTGTTATCCCTGTGAATAATACCTCGTTTGTCCTTCTAGCCAAGGTAAACTTCGTTCAGACCCAGGTGTTGCAGCGGCTGTCAGGTGACCTGCTGCCTCACGTGCCGAAGCTGAGCTCACCTGACATAGCAAGACTCGTCAAATCCTTGAGCTACCTCAAGTGGCTGCACATACCGCTCTTCGAGGCACTGGCACAGGTACCAAAACGAGCTCTGCAAATCCTCCCGTGCAACTACTTTCCGATACATTTTTGCGTTGCTGCATTACAATAAGATTTTATAGAAGAAACGTAGCAGTGTATTTTGTGTAAATTGTGTGAGATATACCCAGCTGCCTTACTGGCGTTTGATCATTTCTTTTTGAAGTAGATAAATAATCTAAGTGTGTTTTACTATGTATTGTTTTCGCATCTTGGACATTATACATATATTGCTGGACCTGCTTCGTTAAGAAATTCAACGAAGCAGATCCAGCAATATTATAGGTTAAATAAGGTTAAAGATTCAATCTCAGATGTTACAGCAGCATGAGTCCCATTACGGTCTTGTGCTAGGACGTATGTACCTTTTGTGCTCACAGAATGTCCCTACATTTCAGTTGCATTACAAATATACGCCACGGACGTTTGTGAAACTTAAATATATAAATGTTGTGTCGTTAAAACCCGCCACCACCCGACACAGCCAACTAGTAAGGGTTGTCACGTAAACAGAACATGCCAATTCGTCACTAGTACAGCACACCGGTGTGTTGGAGAGCAAAGCCACAACATTTACACATATTTACGCGATCTAACCCAAAAAAAAACTTATTGGTGATGTTGGTCGCGAAAGCCTGTGTTGAACTGTTTGTGAAACTGATTTGAAGCTTTCATGACTGCAGGAATCCATACTCTTTGGTTATTTCGGTAAAGTCACGTTGGTAGAAAAATTTAATTGAAAAATAATATATCACGTCGTGATATAATAATTAATATTTATAAAATATCACGACGTGATAAATGTATTTTTCTACCTACGTGACTTTTCCGAAAGAACCATAGAATATGTTTGTGAAACTATTCACTCTTTGTGACGTTTCTAATGTTTTCAGAGTCCAGTAGAGTTGTGCAGCAATGTTGCTTCATGCTTCATACCTGTAATTGTTTGGTGGCCCAGGCCAGTCTTGCAAATGAGACCTATTCTGCTCTCTTGAGTTCTCACCTGGTTAAACAAAATAACTAAAATGTGCGATTTTTACATGTGCTGAAAAGCACCCTGCCTTCATAAACTTAACTGCTTCGCATGCACAGTGGCTGGGATTTATTATGCTGCTTATCACTTGAGGGATGCAGCTGCTAAGTAATCATTAACCAATTCCTCCTTATTGCACCTTCCATGCAGAACATCAAAACAAACTGTGGCAGCTTCTCGTCGGCACAGCTCTTCAGCATCGTTCAGTCGTTCGCCCGTCTGAACTACACGGCGCCAGAAGCCGAGCCTTTCTTTGTGCAGGTACAAAGTGGCCTTCAGTGCGCATGACAATAGCCTGACAACTGCTTCGCATTGCACATTTGAGCCAGGTATGTATGTGTTATGGCATAGTGTAGCAGCATAGCGCTGGCTGCTGGCAGGGAAGGGGATTTTGCGGCGTATGGACCCCTGATGTCAGCGGGCCAGGATATACACCAGAGGGGGATTTAGAAGAAAGGTCACAGAAGAGGCACACCAGGAACCCGCCCCTAGGTTCCAGAAAGGGGGCGTGGCCGGGGGCGGAGCGAGGCCACGCTGACAGTTTAAGAGGGGGCCCCCTGTAGGGGACCTCGGGGCAGTTGTTGGAGTGGGATCCCCGTCGTGCTGCTGAAGTCTTCGTCGCCGTTCTTCTCGTCGTCTTCACCATCCTTCTTCTCGTCGTCTCTGTCTTCACCATCTCGGGGCGCCACCAGTCAGGCAGCCTACCAACTGACCTGAGTAGCGTCGCCGACAATAGGCGGACTAATTGTAAAGTGTTGACCCCAATGGCGCTTGTTAATAAAGAAGTGCCTCCAAGTCTTATCGCCTCCGAGTTAGTCGCTACATACGCATGTTGAACTTCTTCCGCACGGTACGCAGCCAACCGTGCTAATCGAAGGTGCTGAATGCTCTGCGTGCGATACCTCGATTTGTCAGGTGCACTCCAGCCTGGCGGAGACTGCGGAAGATCTCGACACTTACGCGCTTATCGACATGGTCTGGTCTCTCTGCATCCTCGGCCAAGCAACGCCGGTGCTCCTGTCACGGGTCCTCCAACAAGACTTCTACACCAAAGTGACAGGTGAGGCGCTAAGCCAGCAGGGAACACCAGGGAGCTGTTGCCATGGCCTGTTCTTTGCCAATAACAACAAGATTGCAATTGTTAAAAATTGCATTCCCTGATCCAAAACAACGGCAAAAACATTTTACTAGACCAAAGAAAATAGGTGAGAGCTAAATGAGTTGGGTTTTTGAAGTTGAAAAGGCATTTGACTAATCCCATACTGTGTGTATATATGTCTCATATCCTTATTAAATCGTTCCTGTGTGTTTTTATTTCACGATTTTCAGATCTTTATAATCTCTTAATTTGTTTCTGTCTTGTTTTAAGTGCTACCAATACATTCGAACTGAATGCATTATTCAAATGTCATCGCGTGGAAAATCAAAGTATATGCAAATGTATTTGAAAGATTGCGCATTGAGAGACTATCTGAATTGCGCATGAGAATGATCGTGATGGCCATAACGGCCTGTGATCTTTATCTTTTTTCAGAACAGCCATCGGTTTATTCCCAAAGCTATATCCAGAAGCTCCTGCATATTAACAGCACAGCCAACCTGGAGATTCCTGACTACCCAGGACCCTTCCTGCCCTCCAATGAACTGCTCCACAAGTTGACGGTGCCACCTGTCAGCAGTACATCAGTGTCACACCCCGCCAAGAGCAAGCAGGAAAGCACCATGCAATCAGACATTGCCCAGTCCCTGGCGACGCATGTTGGCGCAGACGCGAGTCCGGGCCATATGCGTGTGGGCGTGGAAACGATCTATGGCTGGACGCTGGGTACGTGAACGCAGCGCCGCTGCTGCTGCTGTCCTTTTGCACTCGCGCTAGGCGCGGCCGACGCGGCCCAGCGTTGGCCCGTCCGCCCGCCCGGTAGTGTTTGCGGTTAAAATCCGGCAGGCCGCTCTGGGTAATACTGTGGGCGTGTTAACTGTTGATGTCCTGCGGCGTCATTGGATGAAGAGTAGGCTGTGGTCAGGGCCGTCCATAGCGGGGGGTGTGGGTCCTGGGGCAAATCACACTGTGTGGGCCCTCCTCCTCGACGCCTTTAAACTAAACCGGATGTGGAAGCGTGGGGCCCACAAAAGTGCGGGGCCCGGGGACGTCGCCCTGATTCGCCATACCCTAGGGATTAGCTCTGGCTGTGGTGCTCTGGCTTTGTGGGCCAAATTATAACAAAAATAATCGGAAGTTACTTGGCTGGCAAACACATGGAAATCGTCGCCCCCCCATTGCAAAAACTTACAACGACCCTCCAAAAAAAAATATTAAGACTCGGTGAGGCTTTTCTGGGCAAGAAAACATAATAAAAATAATACACAGGAACGGGGCTTCATTTCTCACTGGACATTTTTCAGGTCGCTTATAGATTTGAGTAGGTGGCACGTAACTGGTAGCAAAGAGTCATAACGAGCGGAATACTGGATGGGGTGTGCCGGGCGCAGTAATATTTTTGGGGTCGTTGACCCGGACAGATCCGGCAAATTAATCCCTGCTGGGAATGATTCACTTGAAATGTTCGCTGCCTGTTTGCGTATAATTACTCTATAAGCATGTTGATTAGCAAGCAAGGAGCTTCACTTTTTTTGTTTATGTCCACAGATGCCGAGACACTGATTGACAAGGACTGCAAATCACTCCCAGTTATTGAATATGAAGCTCCCCACCTTCCCGCCTCAAGTGGCACCAAACCATTGCCAGCGGGGGCACGCAGGTAAAGCAGCGCGTGCATTCAGACGGCGTTTCACTTTGTTCACCTGAAGGGCATTTTACATTCATATGTGATCTTCCTGTAATGCCCTTGTCGTTGGCAGGCTGGCGTTCCTTGCTTTGGAGTATCCCAGCTTCCTCTTGAGCAGCAAGAACGTCCTGGGGAAATTTCAAATGGCTCGACGCCACATTTCCTCGGCTGGCTTCCTCCTGGTCGAGGTAACGTACGATTGTCAGACCCCACATCTGTCCCATGTTGTTTGGCCCTTTTGTGAAGCTTAGCCCGGGGGGCCATAGGCTGATCCGCTGTTTGGCCAGGGCAGTGCATAATCCATACTGGATCAACCTCAACGCTCACGAACCATCCCTGACTGATCGCTGATCCGGAGCTATGCCGTAATGGTCAGCACGTCGACCTTGCAATCTAGAGGATGCTGGTCTGATTGGATCTCTTGGCACGGCACTTGAAGCCATGGGCAAGTTTTGAAGGCCTCTTGGCAGCGTGGAAGTATCAGCCAAAAGACCTTCTAGAGTAGAGAGGCTCTCTAAAGAACCTTGGAGACTCTTCTGTAAAAGCAGTGGTGTGAGCAATGATTTGCTGGGATGCACATTTAACTTTTTACGAAAGATTTTTACAGAATAGAGTATAAAAAATTTAAACTAGCCGAAAATTACCCCACATCTTGCTTATCTTATTTTCATGTCCAATGTTACATGTGCTGTGGTTGTTACAGATCCCATACTTTGAATGGTTGGAGCTCAACTCGGACCGGGTGAAAGTTTCCTATCTCAAGGATAAGATCAGCAAAGCGATTGCTGAGGACATGGCCAAATAAAGAAGTGCTGCACTGAGAAAATACAGTTTGAGTTTGTTTTTGGTTTTAGATCTGCTGGATGATGGGTAAATTATTATTGGTTCTTATTTTAGTTTTGCATCAGGTCAAAAAAAAGGCACGCGACCATTTTCTCTTCTTGAGTGTCAAGGACATAGGAGTGGAAAAATTAGTCCTCGTTAAGAGCTTAAATATGCCGAGCATATTTGCAGTTTCAGCCCCCCCCCCCTCCATGTAAGGTAGGCTAAGTGGTCAATGAGGGCGACTGTGAGAAGTCGTGTAGCGAACCAGACAAGGGCACGCACTATGCCTTGAATTGGTGCGGATGCTTCGATGATAACACAAATTGCCCTTGGTAATCTGTTCAGAAGAAGATGCTGTTGTGCATGAGTGAAACCAACTTAACTAGGCTAAAGCCTTTCAGATTTTTGTTCATGTATACTGGTTTTGTCAACGCGGGTATTTAAACAAGACCTGTGGCACAATCGCCCATAATCTTCGGTCAAGGTCTATCCACTGCTGAATGACGGCCACCACATGTTGCCGCCATATCCTCATGGTGCTGCCTTAACCACAGTTCATCTCACTCCCACATCGTTTGAGCTCATTGCTGCCATTCCATCACGAGTCTCCTCCATCAGCGATCCAGCAGTGTGTCTTGCCGGATGCCACTTCTCGGTGGTCAAGGAAATTCGGCTGCTGAATCCACGTGCTCCTATTCCTGTGTCTCAGTGCAATTCTGAGAATGCATCCCCGCGTTTATGTGCACAATTTTAGCCTTTTGTTCATTACGTTTCAAATTTTCTCTGCTCCTAACGACAAGTTCACTCAGTTGTTATCCTCCTCTATGCCCCCCACCTCCTCCCCGATTAAAGTGATACTGATTTGCCTCATCTAAAATGTTCCAGTCAATTAGGCTTTGCATGGCTAATGGAGCCCAATTTATCACTTACGTCATTGCATTTTTTAAAGGATCATGGGTATCAGGTGCAAATTATACACCACGCTTGCATGGCAAGTAAATCAGTGATTGATATTAATATCTTCTGTGGATGTAAGCCAGGTCTGGTTGTGAGGATTGTACATTGTTCCTGGTCAGTTCTGCTTTGGGAATGCTGTGTAGTGTATGTGTACAACTGCATTTATCCCATAAGAATATACTGTGCACATATAACCTCTGGGAAAAGAAAAATATCAAGAAAATATAAAATAAACATGTTTTGTTTTTAGTCAATTGTGTATAGTGTGCTTATGTTATTTCAACTATTGCTATTTATGTATGTATGTTGAACTTTGAACCGTATGTAGCCAACCGTGCTAATTGAAGGGTGCGGGGGAAGGGCAACAAACTAAAACACAAAAAGCAGGTAAGAAATTCGTTTTCAATCTAGATTTAAAAGTGCATAGCTCCAGTGGCTTCCTAATACCAGAAGGAAGAGCGTTCCAGATGGATGGGGAAGCTCATCTGAAAGCGCGCAATACGGTGACCGTCTTTGTTTGATGGCCAGCGAAAAGCCGCTGCTGCGAGATTGACCGGAGTTTGCACCTTGATGAGACCAGCAAAGGTTTTGTGGTGCTTTTGTGGCACGCACTTTGTGTGTAATGAGTGCAACCTTATAAATGGATATAATCCTGGAATAGCATGGTTGACATTCTTTGTAATTTTGATTTAAAGCTTTCGTGACTGCAGTGATTCATATTCTTGGTTCTTTCGGTAAAGTCACGTTGAAGAGAAACAGTAAAATAATAAAATATATATAATATATAAAACAACGTGACTTTACCGAAAGAACCAAGAATATATATTCTTTATAATGTTCGTGACTGAAGACGAAGTGATGGCGATTTACATTCCCATTTGTCAATTTGAATGACATTCTGGCCATCGGCTGACAATCTGTGCCCCCCCAACATGCCCCCTGCGACAGCAGCCTCTCTTCCCTGTCACCTTCTGCTTGCATAACCGTGCCTCGGGTGGTAGTTTCATCACGCTTTGCTTAAAATCTTCCAAAATTAGAGAAAAATATAATTAATCCCCAGTGGATCGGTTGACACCATCTGCAAGTTTTAAAAAAAATCGTGCGTGTCAATGGGCCACTTTGTTCCTTGGAATAGATTACGGCAATGGAGCCATGTGTCTGCCAGGAGAGAAGCAACACCGACGCTGTTTTGTGTGGAGGGGGCCACCGGTCACACGAGCTCACAAGCCGGCCCCCACACGCGACGTGGCAATGAACAACAACAGGTCCACAGCCAGGATTTGCAATGAGCTCGGATTCCACGGCAGTGGGATGGAACACGTTGAGAGGGAGGCGTCACGCGGGATTTGCCCCGCCGAGTTTCAAGTCTTAGGAGGGGAGTCCTGCACCGGGAATGTTTGGCCAGTGCCGAAGAGAGGACGTTTGGTCTGGAAGGAGTATTGGAGTATCTGGATAAAAGGCAGCTAATGAGGAGGTGGTAAACCAATATAGATCGGCTTATAACCCACTTTCTGGACTGTGATCTGTCTATCTCAGAATCATGCAGGTTAAGAGTCGTACAAGGTAATCATTCGCCAATATAAATTATTCTCTTTCGATTTAAAGCTTTCGTGACTGCAGGGATTCATATTCTTGGTTCTTTCGGTAAAGTTACGTAGAAGGGAAATAATAAAATAAGGCAAATAAAACAATATTTTTTAATTGCTATTTTTAAAAATTGTTTTTTTTTATTATTTCCCTTCTACGTGACTTTACCGAAAGAACCAAGAATAAAAATGATTCTCGTTATTACTGGCGCAGTGATAATTGGGGACGTGTTTTGGAAGTGTACTGTGTTCGGTGACTTGTGAAGTCAATTTCGGAGCAAATATAACGCTTTGTACCTGATGGCTTCTACAAGTGCAATTGCTCGTAAAAAGTAACATCGTAAATTGTATTACATCTTGATTTGAAGCTTTCGCGACTGCAGGAATCCGTACTCTTTGGTTCTTTCGGTAAAGTCACGTAAGTAGAAAATTAATAGATCACGACGTTTCGATCGCAACACAAGCAACCGTCATCAGGTGAAACAAACAGCATGTTATGAATGTTACATTTTTAAAATTTCAATGCTGTGGTCGTTCTGTGTCTGGAATAATCCTGCAATATCGGAATGTGGAATTTCCACAACTAACGGCCACCAGCGGGCACGAGGGTTTCACCTTTGCTTGTTTGGGCAGGGAGACGATGACGATTTCAATTTTCTGACTTCACCCTCAACACAACTCAAATTAAATTCACCCAAAGGTCAGGTTTTTTTGTTTGTTGCAAAATCATCATTCAAGGCGGGCACGCATGTGGCTGATGAGCAATAACTCCACGTCCGTATTAGTTACACGCAGCTCCTAATTTTGAAGAGAGAGGGAAAAAAACGGCGCACAGAGATGCGCTGTCGATGCGATATTTGCGCGCGCGCACATGTGCGAATGATTTGTCGGGCTACGGTTACCCTGCCGAGAGGGGCATGCGTGGAGGCGGACGGGGATGAATCCGCGCGTTTAATGAGTCGCCCTTGGCCACGCGGAGCAAAACAGCGCAACGCGTTAACACCACGCGTTTACACCATGCGCCCATGACCCGGGCCGGGGGGGGGGGGGGTCGAGGCACCGTCCCCATATATAGCGGCGCAGCCTCGGACCCAGACCGCTGACGGTGCGACGGGTTCCTTCGGTGGCTCCAGCGCGAGGCTGCACCGTCCTGGGTGGCTGGGGTAGTTCGGTAAACAAAAATATTCACCGTCGTCAATATCATCGGCCATTGTCTGTCCACTGCCCGGATGAGCCGCCGTCGGCAACATTCGCGCTCCATTGCTGCTGCCATTCTCACAGGGCTTGCTTGACCATACTTCACCAGGCGGGTTCGTGAATGGAGTTTTAATGTCCACTTAGATCGGTAAGGATTTTTTTTTGGTGCCATTAGCTTCGCCTGCAACTTGACCTGCGGGAGGAAGAGACTCGCAACGCTGAACGACTCGTCTTCGTTCATCGGCAGTGCTGAAGCACGGGTCCTGAGTTCGATGGTTGCGTAAGGCAGCTGGCGTGAGTACTCCCCGCAACACCGCACAAGCACGTGCCCCCGAGCATCCGTCTGACCACCAGCTCCTCCGGCACGATGGACGCGTTGCGCGGCGCAGGGGTGCAGGTGACGGTGCTCTTCCAGGGCTGGTTCCAGGGCATCCACGAGGTGATGCACCTCATGTCCAGCCTGGGCGACATCCGCAGCGCCTACTTGCTCTACTTCCCCATCTGCTACCACCTGGCGCCACGGGTCGCCGCAAGGCTGGTGTGGGCTGCCGTGGTCGGAGACTGGATCAACATGATTCTCAAGTGGTGAGACGCGGTTTTGCGTTTTCGCCCATTTGGCAGCCGTCTTTCGGGAAGGGGGCGTGGGGCGGAGGTGGCCGGGGAAGCGAGCACGCAGCCCCTCGAAGGGTACGTCGACTCAAAATCTTGGCTACGTTGGTCGGGAGCGCCACAGTGCAAAATAAGTACGAGCCTATGTTTACACCATAACGTGTAAAATAGATTTATAGCTCGTCGGATTCCTCCAGAAATAAAAGAAATTCTGATTCTGTCAACCAGTGCCGGATTATCCGAGTAGCAAAAGTAGCTACATATGTCGTAGCTACTACATATGTACTGTAGCTACTACACATGTGTAGTAGCTACAGTACATGTGTAGTAGCTACGGGCCCCGCACTTTCAATGGCCCCGCGCTAAATGCTTTCAAACTATCAATTCCGGTTCAGTGATTATGCACTTGCTCTATTACTATAGTACTATACTGCCTTAAACTTTTATTAACGACTGGGTGTTTAAGGTTTAGCGATTTGTCGTATTATCTGGCTGTATATAACAAATGAAAAAATACAATTGCTTAACTATGTAAGTAAAACATTTGTGTGTTTTAATATTTACGTTTTTTTTTAATTTAGGGCCCCTTTATAACATCATGCTACAGGCCCCGCACTAGCTTAATCCGGCACTGCTGTCAACCTATCATATATTTTCTGTGCTAACGGCAAATACGGTGTGGGTTTTTTTTTTGCATTTGTGATTTCGCACCACTGCCAACTCGCCCCTTGCTGCTCAGGGGGCTACAAATGGCGTGCCCCAGTGCCGAGCCAGCACCTCTCAGGTCTCCGTTAGAACTTTGTTTTTTCGGTTGTCCGTGATTAACCCGAATTCTCAAGGAGTAACGAGGTGATGATCTCAGTTTCTTAAGCAATGACGACACGTAAAACGGTACGTTTGTTTTCTGATTCATTCTGCTTTTTTTTTCTCTTAGCAATTGGGGCTAAAGTGGGTTTAATGCCGTATGACACACGCCTGCATGGGAATGGCAATGTGTGGATGTGCACCACCCTGACGTGCTTAATGGGCAATGTAAGAGGTCTTCGAAGTGGTTGTGCGATGTCATATTCAAGAGACTGTTCCCCAGGAGTGGGATTGAATGCACATTTTGATGTTGTTGAATATGAATATATTTTTCTCATAAGGTGACAATTTTAATACACAGTGACTTGGGAAATTGGAAGGTGCTACCCACAACACTACTCATATCTTTTGATTGAAAGCTTTCGTGACTGCAGGGATTCATATTCTTGGTTCTTTCGGTAAAGTCACGTAGAAGGGAAACAATAACATAATAAAAATATAAAACAATAACATTATCACGACGTTTCGACTGCAACACAAGCAATCATCATCAGGTGTGAAAACCACAACAAGAAAAATTGAAAAAAGTGGCGGTTATTTTTAACGTTAGCACCCTTCTACGTGACTTTACCGAAAGAACCAAGAATATACTACTCATATCGCTTGTATTTCAGATACAGTATTTAGCTAGGCTCTGTATCACACACGAAACTTTAACATTCGTCCATCATATCAATATCCATCTACTGGACATCTGTGAAAAGAGCTTCATAGCTCATCGGATTTCTCCAGGAATAAATAAATATTCTGATTCTGAATTTCCCAAGCATTTGTTTACTTAACACAGTACACATATCGGAATAATAATATTTAAAATAATACTGTAAAGAGAGCCGTTCATATCGAAATATCACAAAGCACTGTTTGCAAAAAATGAAATCAACAAAATAAAAAAGACAAGTACAGGTTTCCCTCGCTGTATGCAGTAGATGTGTTCCAAAAGACGGGGCGCAAAAAGGTTAAATAAAAACTACACTCACAAGTAGCGCTTACAGGACAAACAATGGCGTCCAACTGGATAGCCGCACTTGAGTGAATTTAAACCGCATATAGCGAATATAGTGAATTTTGGGTAGAAATAGGTTAGCCACATTTTCGCGAAATCGGACAAGCCGAACTTGCATAGAGCGAGACCTGTTTTGATACAAACCAATCAACATAATAACCGATCAAAATAATAACAATAATGACAAATACACTCAGGCTGTAGGTAGATGCAGACAAACGACGATTCAGGCCAAGTTTAATAATTACACTCGCAGTGGAGGTTAATTCCAAGGGGCCGTTCATAAATGACGTCACGCACCTGGGGGGTGGGGGGTCAGACATTTGTGACGATGTGTGATGAGGGCGGGGGGGGGGGGTTCAGAAATGTGACGTCACATCAAAATGCGCAACTTTTAATAAATATAGAATTGTTATAACAACACTAATTGTTATAACAATTTCCTACAACATCAGAGTGCAGCGCCACATCAAATACGCACTACAATGACAATAGTTTAAAGCGATTTGAAGCATGTTTTATTTTCAAAATGGAAATATGGTTTGGGGGGCGGGGGGCAGAGCTTTGTGACGTCATATTTGAGGGGGGTTCTGACTTTTTGTGACGCCGTCTGACAAGGGGAGGGGGGGGGGGTTCAAAAATCGTCCAAAATCGCGTGACGTCATTTATGGACGGCCCCCAATCGGACTACATCTTATTTTGCGCAGGGTCATCTCGGGCCAGAGGCCGTACTGGTGGGTGCTCGAGACGCAGTACTACGGGAACGCCGCTCCTCCGCATCTCAACCAGTACCCCATCACCTGCGAGACCGGCCCAGGTATGTGGGGGGGAGGGGGGGTGGGGGGGATGGGGGGGGGGGCTCACCTGCTACCTGCACGGGGACCCTACAGCGAGAAAAGCGATCGAAAATCCTCGAAGACTCCCTGGGTCTGGTGTGCATGTATGTGTGCTGGACGTCTTTGGCACAGTACGTAGCCAAACCTGCTAGCCTTCGGGGGGATGATGCACGTGGTGAGGTGTCGTGCACGACGCGTGGCTGTGTGGCTAGGGTGGGGGGGGGGGGGGCTGGTATATAACGCGCTACAATGCGACTGACCGCCAGTGTTGCTGTTTTTTTGCTTCGCGGTACGATACTGACAATCCACAGTTCAATTCCTGCCCAAAAATAAAAAGAAAACCCTCATCAGAAGGCACGTGGTGTTTAAACTCGTCCTGTGTATACCCTGAACGTGTCTGATCCTCGCCACTGGTGAGACAAAAGCACGTGTAGCGCTAGCTTCAACAAACCTCGTGTGCCATGCTGGCCGTAATAAATGATCAATAACATAAAATAATATATCTATATATCCCTGCCTCATGTGTAATTGGTTTCCGTGATGTATATATTGGTGTGGGTGCGTTTGCGACGTTTCCAAGACGATTAATAAAGCAGACACGAGCCGAACCCGTGTTGGGTTGGTCCGGTCACGTTGCCGCGTGAATCCGGGATGAGCCCACGATTGCCCGATTTACAAACAAAGCCGGCCTGCTGCAAAGTGCCCGCGAGAAAGCGAACGTGCGCGTGTACTCGTGCCGTGGTTACAGGTACACCATCCGGACACGCAATGGGCTCTGCGTGCGTGTGGTACGTGATGGTGACGGCCGCTCTGGAGAGCGATCTGTGCACCAAGCGGAAACCCTTCTCGGACCACAGGCGGTGCGTGGATAACAGTATTACATCTGGCGCCCCCCCCCCCAAAGCACGGGGCCCAGGGCGGTCGCCCCAATGATTCGCCGTACCCCAGGGACGGCTCTGTGTGCAGTGATACTTCACTGCTGAGTAAGGCTTATTGTTTGGTGTCTATTGCCCCGCAGGCTGTGTCGCGTTGCCCTCTGGCTGCTCTTCTGGTTCGTCCAGATCAACGTGTGCGTCTCTAGGGTGTTCGTTGCCACCCACTTCCCGCACCAAGTCATCCTCGGACTGCTGGGCGGTAACCACTGCGGCGTTTGCCCGCTGCTTGCGAATTGAAGCACCGGGGGAGAGCAGGGCAGCAAGGAAGCGAATATCCTACAACCTACGTCTTTCGCTCGATACAAAAAAATATAACAACATCATTTATTAAAAACATAACATTGGCCAAATCCTTTAAGCAAGGCTCTCGTAGGCAACTATTGAAACTCCATTGTCATAGCTATTATTAATGAGTTATTATTATTTCCATTCTAAAGAGACGGAGTTATTTTGATCAGTGGCATGGCTATTGGTATTGGCCGGTTGACTAATTGCTCGTGGGGTAGAGCTGTTTATATATTTACTGGATGGCAAACTGTATAAGGTAAGCGGTAGGACTAGCATTCGATTAACTGGGGGTGCTCCACCCACAAAATGTTTGCGTCTTCCTCACCGCTCGAACGATGCACTTTTATATAATCTCTATTGAAAACGTATTTCTTTAGAACTGCCTTTCCTATTTAGTTGTGTTGTTCTTCCCCCGCGCCTCCGATAAGCGCGGTGGGCTACGTACGGTGCGAAAAAAGTTCCACGTACACACATCCATCCATACACTCTCCGGCAGAGCTCGACATTGTAAGACCCCGCGGCCCCTGACGCGTGAAACACACGGCCCCATCATCATCATCATCGTCGTGCTGCTGTCAAACCCTAACGATGGTTCCAAATCGGTGTTGCGCAATCTCACACTGATGATGTCTTATCGGCGAAAGTGACCCACCCAGCCCCTCTCTCGAAATGAGTAAAGAACATTGCTCTACGGCCTTGCTCACTCGTCGCCCACCGCTCCTCGGCGGCGTTGACGGAGGTCCCCTTCCACTTCCCCCTCGCAGGGATCCTCGTGGCCGAGGTGTTCGGCCGCGTCCGCCTCATCCACGGCGCGCGGCTGCACGCGCACGCCGCCCTCTGCGCTCTGCTCCTGCTGGTGGCCCTCTTCGTCCACGACGGCGCCGCGCGCATCGCCCAAGTCGACCTCGACTGGTCGGTGGCGCTCGCGCGCAAGCGCTGCGCCCGCGCCGAGTGGGTCCACGTGGACACGACCCCCTTCGCCGGGCTGGCACGGGGGCTGGGCGCGCTCTTCGGCCTGGGGCTGGGTCTCCACGTGCGCGACCGCTTCGTAACGGGAACCTCCTCCGAGGTCGGCGATGAGAAGGAGGGGGAGGAAGAGGCGGAGAGGGAGCCGACATCGCCGGCATTTCAAGGCTGCTGCATCGCCGCGTCCCTGCTGGCCGTGCACGTCCTCGAGTGGATCGTCCCCATGCCCCAGAGGGCCGGTGGCCTCTTTTACTTCGTGGCCTTCTGCCGCAGTGTCCTGGGGCCCGTCGCCGTGGTGGCCGCGACGCCCTACTGCGTGCGCATGCTGGTCGGGCCATTGGCCAAGATGAAGGGGTCCTGATGGCCCAGGTGCTGAGGACCGGCCTTGTGTCTGATCAACTTGAATCGTAGCTCTTATTCGTCGTTTTTTTGTTGTATAACGTCTTTTTTATATATATACACACACCTTAGATAACAGTGTTACGGTAGGATGTCTTGGAAGGAGGTTTTAAAGCGAGGCGTACTGCTTTCATGCGTCGAGCGTAATCAAGTAATGGTCACATGGATGATCGTTTTAGTTCTCGTAGTGTGGAAATTGATAGTAGTTGTAATTTGCACAGTGTGCGCGATATATTAAATTCCTTGCAGATGTCCTCTGCACCATTTTGCCATTTGTTATTGTTACATTTTCGTAATCCAGGTCTGCCATAAAAAAGAGACGTATTGTCTCTAAGGGCTCTCACTTGATTCAACGTGAAAGGCTACCTAGCCGCTGCATACAGTATATGTTAATATTTAAAAAAAACAATATTCCGCTTGTGCCTACACAATTGCCGCAGTCGTTGTTGAGTTTCGTGGGGTCATGATGAATGCACTGTAAAAGGTTCTACGTAGCTTGGCCCAATAACACAATCACAACCTCCCCTGCGGGTTACACTGCAGTGTCCACCACCCAGACAGACGTTGACATTTCTCACTGCATGGAGTCGATGGCAAGACCTCTCATGCACAGGGATGGCTTGATTAGACTCCAATTCGAGGACGCGGCAGTTTCATGAAAAGGTTTACCCAGGTAGACGTCATGATCATTTCAACTTGTAACGCGTCGCAGGGAACAACTCAGAGGCGCGAGGAGCCACAGACAAGCAGGAAGGGCAGCCACGCAATGAGCCGGCACCAACAATTGCCCAAGCTCTGCGGTCCTCTATGTCAATGCGATTTGGGCCAGTTAATGAGTGTTTACACGACATATACACGTGGCTGTATTTAATACTTGGCAGTGGCTGGATAAAAGCTTCCACCACCAGACGGTTAGGAGAGCCGATCTGCGTCTGCCACCAGAATTGGTGTTGATTTGCTGACGCGCCTGCTTGTCTCCCGGCTCCAACGAGCAATGGAACAGAGCTTAATTCCATAGATGCCCCCGAGACAGTCATGGAAAGTCCACATTTTATAGCCTCGTTCTGTTGAATAAAAAATAACCCCCTGTAAATTGTTGACCTTAGAGTTATGATGGCCCGAGTCAACTCCAAACCAGATCTTTGCACACAGATTTCAACGTATTACAATCATAAGTCACGTGTCATTTGCAACTCTAAAAGATGCTGGCTGTAATTAGCAGCGAAACATCGTAGTCAAAAATTGTAAATGTTGTGGATTCACTCTTCAACACACCAGTGGGCTAAAGTAGTGAGCTATTTTTATTTTGTCAACGTGACACTTTTTTACTGATTGGCCGTGTCGGGTTGTGGAGGGTTACGACACATTTATAAATAACGCGATCTAACCCAAAGACGTTTATTATGAATAATATTGGTCGCGAAAGCCAACGTGTTAATAAATGTTGTTGTCTGTTTATGTTTATGTACGTACACACAGCAAATGCATCATTGGTGGCTGTAAGGCAAACATAAAATGTAATGAAATTGCTCTATTTACGGATTGCCTTATTGAAAGAACCAGGAGCTGAGGTGGGCCAAAAAGCACGGTCTTGCGATATTCCTTCGTGGGAGATAATTGTTGGGCCTTCCCTGCAAACCGGGGCTCAATTCCCACCACTGGCTCGGTACCGTCAATGGAGATGCGCACCACCCAGTGCTTGAGTGGCGATAGACACGTGGTGTGTATGTGTGTATGTATGTTGAACTTATTTCGCACCGTACGTAGCCAACCGTGCTAATCGGCAGGCTAACGTTGTGTGTGAACGTTGTGTTAACCTCCTTCCAACTGATGAAGCTTCATGAGCCATTCGCGTCGAGTTCATACACTGCACTGGACAACTCTGAAAAAGAGCTTCACAGCTCGTCGGATTTCTCCGGGATGAATAAAGATTCTGATTCAGAAATTATGACAGCCATCATCACCGTCATCCTCATGACTCGCCACCGTCAACCCCGAGGTCACCACGGGGTCAGGCGATGCTTGTGTCAGTTGGACGACAACAATTCCCCATGCCTTCCTGTCCACCCAAATTATATATGTTCATACCCTCAATTTCTGCGCTCTCTTTCCCGAACCCTGCACGTAGTGTGGTGTAGAAGGGCTCTATCCAGCGCCGGCAGATACATTCTAAAACGGGGTTCGTTGTGCACGTTCTATCTATAACTCACAACAGAATTCTCATTCATAATAAAGGTTTTTGGGTTAGATCGCGTTATTTATAAATGTGTCGTAGCCCTCCACCACCCGACACGGCCAATTAGCAAAAAAAGTGTCACGTTTGTCAACGTGGCACGTTTGTCAACGTGACACTTTTTTGCTGATTGGCCGTGTCGGGTGGTGGAGGGTTATGACACGTTTATGAATAACGCGATCTAACCTAAAAACCTTTATTATGAATAATATTGGTCGCGAAAGCTGCTACGTGTCAAACAGAATTCTCATAATCATCATCAGGCTTAGTATGATCAGTAGAAGCATTGCAAAGCCGCAGTTTCCTGCCCACCTCTTCTAGCTCTGGCGTCTACAGCCCCTTTGTAGAGCAGGAGCTGAGACGATTACCCAAGCACACCCTGGGTAAGAAGGAATCCCCTCTCCCATCAACGAGGTGAGCATTGTAACCCTTCCCGAAACACAAAGCCAAGTTAGATGGAAGATTTTTGACCACCCCCCCTTGTAACACGGCGTCACAAAAAGTCAGACCCCCCTCAAATATGACGTCACAAAGCACTGCCCCCCCCCCCCATTTTTTTTTCATAAAACATGCTTCAAATCGCTTTAAACTATTGTAGTGCGTATTTAATGTGGCGCTGCACTCTGATGTTGTAGGAGAAAAACATTTATTAAAAAGCCTATTTAATTAAATAGGACGTGTTGTCTATATTTATTTAAAGTTGGGCATTTTGATGTGACGTCACATTTCTCACCCCCCCCCCCCTCGTCACACATCGTCACAAATGTCTGACCCCCCCCCCCCCTCCTAGGTGCGTGACGTCATTTATGGACGGCCCCTTATGCTGCCCAGCCGGCCAGGTCGAACACAGCAGGCAACCCACCCCGGTTGCACTTGGCCTGCTTTTTAGACTGTCCCCCCCCCCTCAAATCCCCAAATCAAAATGAAACCATCTTGGCGATCATTCTCCCCCCCCACCAACTTTGCTGGTGACCGTACCCTTCCTCGCCCGAGCCTCGGCTGCGGTGTTCCACGTTCCATCGAGCGTGATTGAGATGATTATGGAGCTCCCGGGGGCCGTGGAAACATTCGCGGCGAGGTTCAGGATTCTTTGCTCTCCACGGGGTGGTGCTGTTTCAACGTTAAAGTGGGACTTTCAGACCCACGGGCATCCCCACACAGAGCAATGGAACACTTGCAGCGCTGTGCAGGGTGGTCCAGACGACTCCCTAAAACGTAATGTTTTTTTCTCTACCGATGGGTGTGAAAACAGAAATGAATGAGCAAAACATGGGAAAGAAACATCGTTAGGTGTAAATTAATGGGGGGGGGGGGGGGGGGGGGGGGGGTGGTCACAAAACATCTGGAACCACCTTCTGCTAAGCAACAAAGTACAGGGGTTGTGAACAAGCACACCATTAAAATACTGTACAATAAAAAGCTCTTCTAAAGAAGGTACATTGCCCGAAACGTCGGGCCTGATAGTACTGTAATAGTGGTATGTTAAAAGTGCGTGTGTCAATAACGAATGTGGTGAGTTTTTTTTGAGTGAGGGTATGATCGTAACGCGGGCGTGTATTTGTTGAGTCTGGAAATGACTCACGTCGTCAAAGTATAGAGGCCGCATTGTGGAGTTAAAATAATAGCAGGCATCAGCCGGCGGATATTCCACAGTCACGGAGTAAAGAAGAAGGGCCGACTTCGCTACGTACACGTCTCCCTCATCACACGCAACATATCTCTTAGGGGCCGTCCATAAATGACGTCACGCGATTTTTGACGATTTTTGACCCCCCCCCCTCGTCACACGGCGTCACAAAAAGTCAGACCCCCCCTCAAATATGACGTCACAAAGCTCTGCCCCCCCCCCCTCCATAACCATGTTTCCATTTTGAAAATAAAACATGTTTCAAATGGCTTTAAACTATTGTCATTGTAGTGCGTATTTGATGTGGCGCTGCACTCTGATGTTGTAGGAAATTGTTATAACAATTAGTGTTGTTATAACAATTCTATATTTATTTAAAGTTGCGCATTTTGATGTGGCGTCACATTTCTCACCCCCCCCCCCCCCCTTCGTCACACATCGTCACAAATGTCTGACCTCCCCACCCCCCAGGTGCGTGACGTCATTTATGGCCGGCCCCTTACACAACCCATTAGCAGCGCGACCCTCGGCTGGGAGCGCATCGTTACAGCAGCAAACTCCGTGGCGGCTTCGACGCACCAGTGTCTCATCAGCACCGCCTGACCCACCCGAATCAACGCCGGTGAAATGCCGATCTCATACGAAAGGACCTTCTCCCCCCCCCCCCACCCCCTTACATTATTATGGGGCTCTCAGTTCGACGCAAAAATCACGTAACGTAATAGGGTGACATATTTCTGCAATGCATAACTGTAATAGGGTTTGTTCGGATTCTACACTTTAGGTGGCCATTTGGACACTTTTAGTCGCTGGAGTGTGCAGCTACTTTGACCGTTCGCCTTGTCCGGCTCGCACCTGTACGACGCACACGAGAATATTAACAACGGCATCAAAGCCGCCTAACGGAGCCCCCCCCCCCCCTGAAAATAAGTGACGGACACTGCTACGCGTGGTCTCACGAGGACACGCACCGCGGGCCCCCCACTCAAGTGTATCCACCAAGGCAGGAGCGATGGTCCCGCCCGCTCCCTGTGACGCCGCTTTCCGCTCGTCACTACACGCGGCTCAGGAGGCGTCACCTCCTCCTCCTCCTCCACAGCCGAGCAAGGGCAGAATGGGCGAGCTGCCGTGACGACGCGACCCCGACTTTAACCTGGGGGTGACGGGCGGGCGGGGAGCAGGAGAGACCACCAGGGCGTCCAGAAGGAAGAGCAAAGCGGCAGAGAGAGAGAGAGAGACTTCGTGGAGAGCCGGCGATATCTAAAGGACCCACGCGGGCCGGACGAGGTGATTCGGCATCCAGCCATGGGGAACGCAGGGAGCGTGGACGCCCTGCAGGGCAGCGCTGCCCCGGAGCCCCGGGTTCTCCATGGGCAGCCGCCTCCTCGCCTGCCCATGCCCAGCGAGGAGGAGCTGGAGATGCGCTTCGCTGCCGTGCTGGTAAGTGCCCCATGGGGTTCCCCTCGATGACCCCTCCCCCCCCTCCCCCTGGATCGATCCTGATAAGGGACCCCCCTCGCCCCCCCCAGCCCGCCTCTAGACCCTCGTGGTTTGATTGTTTTGATGTCTCGCTGGTGTCGGAGTGATCGCCGCAAGTGACGCGTTGAGTGGCATGGGTGACTATTTGATCCATCCGTGATGCTGCTGCCTGGAATTTTCCACCCGGCATCATCACCGTCATCATCAGCATCATCAGCAACATCGTTATCAGCAGCAATGTATAATGCTCGTCGTGGTATGTTATTTTTTAATCAGTAGCATCACAACGTCAGCAGCAGCACCAGCAGCACGAGTATCATCATCCTTGTCATTAGCATCATCATGATCATCATCGGTAGCAGCAGTGTCATCATCTGTATCATCCTCGTCATTTTCAGTGACTCATCAACTATCCTGGGTCACCACATCATTTTAAATGGTGGGCAAGTTACTTTCTTGTGTGACCCGTTAACTTTTTTTTTAATGTGGCCACCTCCCAGTGACACGATGGTTCTCCTGTGTGACCATTTGACCAACCTGTGGTGACCCCACTGACTACTGCCTAGAGACCAGACGTCATTGCCTGACTCTGGGTGGCACGATAACCCTTCTGCAGTGAGCCGACTGACCCTCCCGAGTGAACCTACTGGGCAATTCACCGTCCTTCCTGTGGACTATTTGACGTGGGTCCTCAATCAAACCCAAGTGTTGACCGAGGGACGTATATCGACCGTTGTTGCACATTTACTGTTGCGTATCTTGCCCACACTTCCTTGTTTTGTCGCGCAGTGTTGCACACAAGGAAGTCACACTAAATGTGTTTAGTTGGTTGTCTTTCCCCTGCACCTCCAATTCGCGAGGTTGCCTACGTAGGGTGCGAAAGAAGATCCACGTGCATACAAACGTATAACTGTCCTGTATAAATGCTGCGTCGTTGAGAACAAGTGGGGCTATCAGAATATACTTTTTAATGGCAAGGTAACGAGTTAAGCAAATGACGGTGACCTCTAATGAAGGTAACACGTTAATGGGACTCGTGGAGTCCATTGCATTAATCAGCGCAGTGCGTGATGTGTTAATGAGAGGGACTTACTCCCCCCCCGCCCCCTCCCACCAACACCACCCGTGCTCTCGTGATATTCTGGACGCTGTGGGTAAATTCTGGCGAAATCAGAGACAGTGACGGATCGCGAGTCAACCGCGCGGTCACGAGGGCGGGTGTCGCTTGGAACCAATGGAAACAAAAACACATCGTCAGCACCCACGTCTGTTTAGCCACCCGCCAAGTCGCGTTTCGGATGAAATCGTCGCCGCGATTTTGGGGTATTCTCTACGACGCTGGATCGGTTCCATTTCCATGGCAAGTTGGGTGCCACATCGGCACAACAAAACCAACACACACATGCAACCTGCCCCGATCGTTACTCATTCCGTGATCTTTAACGGTTGCCGTGCAACCCCTTTGGTTCCCAATCGCTAGACAAATGCATGCTGTCAATAAATAGAAAAGGGTTTGAGGAAAGAGAGAACGTTGCACTCACGTGCCCCTGCTTGATTTGTCTTTTCGACGATTTACCTTCTAAAAAGATCGGGCCATGTCTCGCACCCCCAGAAAGGGCATCTCGCACCCCCAGGGGGTGCGTTCACCCCAGGTTATGAAGAAGAACAAGAAGACTAAGAACCACACTGCTCTAGGATATGAGTGAGATGGCTGATCGATCGTTGACGACTGCCCAACACAAGTCCGCGTGCTCCGATGGGAATCACGTGGGACTCCAGTTCACTCCGCTACCACGGATGCCGTGGAATGGCTTAGAACATTAACATTATAATTGGTAGTCTGTTGCTTGTTTTCACGCGACGTACAACAGAAGAAGAGTAATTGCAATGGCAGGAACAATGTCTAACACCTGTAATATTGATACAGTGTGTGCTTGTGTATATATATATTGCACATTAGTTCAGCTTCCCTTGAAAAACAATCGCAATTTTCAACATTTCCAAATCCTGTAAGTTACACTTTTGAACACACAGCAAAAGTTTTAGTCGACGCCTCGATCTGAGTTGGTCACCAGCGGTCAATGCATATTACCCGCAATGGCTATGTGCTGCATGGATCAGAGATTAAAATATTTTTGCTCCATTTAGAGTTTGAGGTCATTGCATCATTGTGCTTTCGCGACAGTGAACCGGCGTTTCCACGCAGTGATAGGTTTCTTCGCTTGGAAAGCGATCACAATCCTCAACAATTTCACCTTCAAACTTCCAAAACCACTCGACACCCCCTCCTCCCCCCGCTGGATTGGTTATATCCCATGGCAGTGGGGTAAAACATCGGCACAACACAAACACGACACGCACATGGACCTGCCCCAAACGTTGCCCGTTCCGTGACTCAATCGCAAATTCCTACATTGACTCATCGGCTCCTTCATTCATTGATTCGTTCGTCAACTCTTTCACTCAATCGTTCACTCGCGGCCAGCTTTTCGTACGGCTTCTTGGGATGCAGTCGCATTAACATGATGATGTATACATCTCAATCCTATTGCATCTCATCATTCTGAAATTAAAACTACTTTGCACGGCAAATTAGCTCCGTATGGAACGACGCATCTATTCGCCGATTAGTGCATTTAGCTCCCGAAGCACATACGTAACATCTCGTGTGTGAGAAATAATGTAGTTTGATGTGCTGTATATATGTCGTACGGTATGGGTTCATGCCGCCTATGGAGTAAGGCGAGGAGCTATAATTCAGCGCAACACACCCAGTAGATATGAACATTTCTTCAAACCTCAATTGTGACATTTCATCGAAATCACTGAGTTTGGGGAGGGGTGGTGGATCGCTACAGACATTTTAATTAGCATATTAAAATCAAGGCTAACTGGATGCAAAAAATAACTTTCGCCCACTCTGCTTAAAACAAATAAATACAGCTTCATGAGTCAATAAATCGTATCTTTCCTCGGGCAATTTTCAATGTAAAAAATATTTTCCATTTTTTTGTGCGTGGGTCATTGTTTCCACTTGCTGCGAGGAGCCCCCCACGACCAATGTAACCTCGCTACGCGGGAGTCTGACGTCGTGTGCGCCGCTTCTGAATAAGGGGCCGTTCATAAATGACGTCACGCACCTAGGGGGGGGGGGGTCAGACATTTTGGACGATGTGTGACGAGAGGGGGGGGGGGGTTGAGAAATGTGACGTCACGTCAAAATGCGCAACTTTAAATAAATATTAACAACACGTTCTACTTATATTCTTGGTTCCGTCGGTAAAGTCACGTAGAAGGGAAACAATAAAATAATAAAAATATAAAATAATAAAATTCTCACGACGTTTCGACTGCAACACAAGCAATCATCATCAGGTGTGACTTTACCGAAAGAACCAAGAATTTGAATTCCGGCAGGCACGAAAGCTTTAAATCACGTTCTACTTAATTAAATATACTTTTTGATCAATGTTTTCTCCTACAACATCAGAGTGCAGCGCCACATTAAATACGCACTACAATGACAATAGTTTAAAGCGATTTGAAGCATGTTTTATATATTTTTTTGGGGGGGAGGGGGGGTAGAGATTTGTGACGTCATATTTGAGGGGGGGGGTCTGACTTTTTGTCACGCCGTGTGACGATGGGGGGGGAGGGGTCAAAAATCGGCCAAAATGGCGTGACGTCATTTATGGACGGCCCCTAAAGGCATCGCGAGGGACTCTCAGCCTCAGAGGCAGTGATGTTTCGCCCGTCCTTCGCTGCCTGGCAGCAGTGTTTATTCAAACCACATCTACCCCTCTGTTTTCAAGGAGCGAAACACGTGGACTTCTCCACAAATCTGGCTGTCGCCTGATGAAGCTGGTTGTAATTACTTGGCGAAACGTCGCGCTCAGATTGTTAACGTTGTGCCTTGGCTCTCCAACACACCGGTGGTGCTGTACTAGTGACGAATTGGCCACGTTCTGTTTACGTGACAGCCCTTACAAGTTGGCTGTGTGGGGTGATGGCGGGTTTTAACGACACAAGATTTGTACATTTACACGATCTAACCCCAAAAAAACCCTCTATTATGGAACTGTCGATTCTCTCGTGCCACTTTGTGGATCCTCCCGGCTCTTTCTCTCCTCCTACGCCACCGCTGCAGATGCTTCTTGTATCTTATTATTTTTCTTCTTCTTGTCATGTCGAGTGGCTGCTGGTGTCGATGCAGAGCGACAACTACAATTTGACATTCACCTGATCAAGCCAGCCAACCGCGTTAGGAACAGCGGAGCGGTGCATCATCATCGCCGTGACGTCTCCTTCGTGTGTGTGGACCGGACATTGTGTCGTTATTACGTTGTGCTACGCTTTGTTCTGGATGACCGCAGTCGCACACTGGATTGTTTTAAATTTACCATGTGCGCATCAGGTATCTGCATCTACTGCCATGGCTTGTGTGGATCCGGTTTTAGGGTGGATCATGAGCTTCTTGGAAGATCAAGCCCAGGGGATCTTGTGCTTTGTGTCTTTCTCAACAAGGTGTTTGTTCGTGAGTTCTCTTGAACTCCATTCAGCTCTCCAAGCTGCATCGGGGTTGAACTTCCATTGGTGGAGGTTAAGCGCTGCAAATGTTAAGGGTGACTTATAAATATTTCCACTTTCCTGTGCTCGCAAATGCCAAGAGTGATATCACCTTAGCCATTAACGTTGTCACAAACCTACTCTGGAATATGCTCACTAGAATGTGTATCTTACTTAATGGCAATCCGTTGAAGAAGATATGAAATTACTAGTTTACCCATGTTTCATCATTCGCATGTTTACAGCCTTTGCATGACCCAGAGCCAGATGGTGAACGATGCTTTGACAGAAGATTCATCAATAACGGTAATGCCTCTCCGCAGGCTAAAATAGCCCCACGAAGAAAATGCATTAAGTCAAATGTGAAATCGATACAAATGGGTTTCAAATGTTTG